TTATTTTTATAATGGTATCCCCCTGGAAACGTCCCGCTCTGGAGACGAGTGTTTACAGTCAGCGGTTTGAAAACTCGGTTTTAAAGTTTCCGTCTCGTGAAAAATAAAAACTGTCACTGTTTACTTGACAATTTTGATGCTTTTGCCTGTTACCATTGTCAAACTCATTCAACAGGTTGCAACATGAACCATTACCATTCGCACTATAGTAAAGAAATACGTGTTTTGTTCTTTGTCAGACCACTACTCTGTAAACATACCGATCAATCCCATCAGGCGTGTGTACGAATTGGACAACGAACGAGAATTTAGGTACGTGAGGTATTGAAAATATTCATATTCCTGTGTAGGACACACGAGGAAATCATATTTTTCTCTCTATAGGGTTTTACACTTTTTCTCGCTTTTGCACGAGTTCTTCAAAAGATAATAATAAAATCAGGTTCTTAGCTGTACAGGCATTTACTTCCCGAATTATTTAGTTTGAATCCGAAGATGAACTCCTTCAAAATGTAAAAAAATAATCTAAGGTGACGACAATAATCTTGCAAGGACTGTCCTTATCACACGGAAGATCGCAGAAGACAAACTACAAACTTTGTAGTTTGCCACAAAAACAATCTTTAAAGGGGTGCTGTTTCCTTAATCATTTCTCAACTGACTTGAGAAAGAAACTTGGAGTATGTAACACTAAAAAAAAAGCGATCGAGAATCACCCACACTAAGCCGACATTTACTCAAGACTACAGGTTTATCACAAACAAACTTTTCAACGACTATGGTCCCAAGACGATCTAATTTAGAAGATTTCTGTTTATATCTTAAGCAAACCGGAAGTTCTTGCCGATGGAAGGGTCAAGTGTACTTTACAAGTTTTCTGGAGCAAATTCGATGGTTATGGCAAAAATTCCAAAATTGCCAAGGTTACCACTGCAAAGCTGGCAGTGCAGGCGCTGGACAGGAGAGATTCACCAGGAACAAGCCAAGGAAGTAGCTAATCAAGGGAATGGACATCACCATGGTAACGGTGACAGACAGTAACCTTTCAGAGGAAGAATCTAGAGGAATTACGCCTAGGAAGACTTGCTGGCTTTTATTAGCTAAAATAAGATTGTACTTCATTGTATATTCAATTCANGAGGAAATCATATTTTTCTCTCTATAGGGTTTTACACTTTTTCTCGCTTTTACACGAGTTCTTCAAAAGATAAAAATAAAATCAGGTTCTTAGCTGTACAGGCATTTACTTCCCGAATTATTTAGTTTGAATCCGAAGATGAACTCCTTCAAAATGTAAAAAAATAATCCAAGGTGACGACAACAATCTTGCAAGGACTGTCCTTATCACACGGAAGGTCGCAGAAGACAAACTACAAACTTTGTAGTTTGCCACAAAAACAATCTTTAAAAGGGGTGCTGTTTCCTTAATCATTTCTCAACTGACTTGAGAAAGAAACTTGGAGTATGTAACACTAAAAAAAAAGCGATCGAAAATCACCCATACTAAGCCGACATTTACTCAAGACTACAGGTTTATCACAAACAAACTTTTCAACGACTGTGGTCCCAAGACGATCTAATTTAGAAGATTTCTGTTCATATCTTAAGCAAACCGGAAGTTCTTGCCGATGGAAGGGTCAAGTGTACTTTACAAGTTTTCTGGGGCAAATTCGATGGTTATGGCAAAAATTCCAAAATTGCCAAGGTTACCACTGCAAAGCTGGCAGTGCAGGCGCTGGACAGGAGAGATTCACCAGGAACAAGCCAAGGAAGTGGCTAATCAAGGGAATGGACATCACCATGGTAACGGTGACAGACAGTAACCTTTCAGAGGAAGAATCTAGAGGAATTACGCCTAGGAAGACTTGCTGGCTTTTATTAGCTAAAATAAGATTGTACTTCATTGTACATTCAATTCATACTCACCTAATATTGTGCTTTAACAATTGTGTTTTTTTAATTTTTTAATAGTTTTTTTTACTAAAGCGTACTCCTTTCTTTAGCATCCACAATCAGGATGAGTGTTAGACAGTTCCTTTATACGTAAATAACTAAACTTGCTGGGTAGCCTTCGGAGCAGGCGCATGAGAAATATGGCGCGGGACGAGGAGCCACACGCGCGTGGGAGGCTAATCTCTCGTTTGCGCGACAGTTCATCGGCCATATGAATTATTTAAGTCTTACTTAAAAGTGTTTTGACCAGAAATCTTTGAATTTTAGAATTGCTGTTTTTTTGGCCACTCTTTTGATTTTAATAATCAGAATAGAAATTCAACCCACTCCCTTTAGGATAATAAACAACAGCACCACCGGAAAGTACTGCCCAGTAGCTTTTAGATAAATGGTCAAACTTTAGGATTTCATCCATTGTCTCAGATTTATATCCATCTTGTTGGGTTCAGTATCCTTTATTTTTAAGTCACTGTTTATATTTTACCATGATCCACAGCTTGGAAAACTAAAACCAATTTTCATGACTGAAGAATTTGAGTCAACGAAGAACTACCTCCTTTCACCCTTACAGGCTGTGAGAGTCAGTAAAGTATTTTTAAATAAAAAGGGTACTGTCATTGAGCAAAGTTATTGAGCAAAGTCAGACCCTTCTGGGAAACTGCCCACCTATCCCTCCCCTATGCCAACATTATCACTAAACTTGTCACTTCTCACCTTGCCCTCTTACTGAAGCACCCATTTAATAAATTACGCTCAGGTAGAATTTAAAATTTGAATCGTGTTTGGCCCTGGTGGCCGGCAATAAGTACAACTATAATAAAATTATTTAAATTGAATATCGTATGTTCGCTATTTTCTTGCGAAACCCTCTCGAAACTGGGTAGCGCCACTAACGGGGCGGGCATTAGGAACTGGATGGGTGACGGCTAGCCGCTGTAATCACGTCGTGAAGATCCCCTACGCTTCTTAGAGCCCCTACCCTCTTCTTCCCTAGGGCAAGCTCAACTTGGGTTCAACGACCGAAGTACGGAGCTGAGTCTTTGATCCACTGGGCCGGCGGGGAAAGGGCCAGGTTAATTGTCGGTAACTTGAATTCCAAGGTAGATTTAAGGGTAAGAAGCAAGACTTTGACGCTAAAAAAGGCCGAAATGAAATGCACTTCCCACACACATCCCCGTCCGGGGCAAACTCGTCTACTATAAGTAAGACGCACTCACAAATGTTCTTTGATCTCGATTTTCACTCTTATTTTGAAAAAACGAAATTTATCGCCAAAGCGGCACGCCGCAAGACACGGATCAAGTTTGTCGCTTGATGACTCATTTCATTGAGGACACCAACTGTAGAGAATATAGCCAACTCGTGTTCTGCCTCGTGCGAATAAACCTCGGCTACGCGAGGCCGTTCGGCCCGGGCATCGTGAGGAATATCTTGCAAACCAGTGAAAGGAAATTGAGACGTAACATTCAAAAGCGAAAATAAAAAAAAAACATCATATTTGGCGAAAAACTTTCAAAAAAAATTCGTATACTTTAACGGGTCGTGATGCAACGTGATTTCACACGTAGCCCGTTTTTTGGCGGTGAAGGGCTGCGTGACGAGTCAAAAGGGGACTGCATGCAATAGTAGACTGGGCTATGTTACAAATGGTCTGTTTGAATTTTGTCGATATGTAAATAAGTTTGATTGTAAGAATGATTTGTTTACAAAAAGAATGCTTCAGTTATCATGTGCGCCACTGTTAAAACCTTGATGCATTCATTTCTCGGAATAACAAGCCAGGTGCTCTTGAAATTACCGGAAAAATACTCAGGCCCTGAGGATTATATCTCTGTCTTCCAGTCAAGTGTGGAATATGAAGACCGTAATCAGCACAGCCAATAGCCGACCCACACGCCAAGCCAATATTGAACTTCCTTGTTTGAATCACTGGCGCTGATTTATCGAAGCTTTCAAGCTGTCATCCAGATTTTTTTGTCTAATTTGCAAGTCAATGTGATCATGAAAAGTGAAGACAGCGAAAATTATTCAGCCTCCGAAAGCAAAATGGAAACCCAACAGATTTTTTCCTCTAAACGTAGAATAGATCGGTCAAGGATGCGTATAAGAGTCGGAATCTCTCCTCTTATTCCCTTCAAATATGGCTACTTCTTCATCAGACAAAAACGAACCATTTTTTTGTGGCATTGAAACAGGATTGAACAAGTGTAAAATATGAGGAGCCCATAACCGTGATAATAAAACTGGCCACAGTTTCGTCCATTTAAGATTCCTAAATTTGTTTAGACCTCTGGTTAAATTCATCTTCAGAAATTGGGGGTGATCCACAGGGATAGTCCAATACGGTCCATGGACCGGGTCCACGAAGGGGTCCGGGGTCCGTGGACCCTGGGGTCCATGTTTTGAAAAGGTTTTGGTTCAATTTTATCCTTGGTTGAAATTTTATTTTATTCTGTTTACGTGCCTAGGCTGGTTCGAAACCCAATTGCAACTTTGAAGCATGTGTTTAAAGCCAACCCCATTATTCCCCATTAGAAGAACCTTCATTCAACTGGGCGCCGCTAAACAGTGATCGAGTGACCATTAAATATTAAATATGCATTAGTTTCTCAGAAACACATCTCAGGCCCCTCCTAAAGCGATTTTAATCAACAAGCTACTCAGGCACGGCGAGTTTTATCCCGGCCGTCTTCAAGTGTGTGTGTGTGTCCGCTGTAGAAGGTGTTGCATATATAAATTAACTGACCGGTACAAACAGATCCTCTGATACTTTGGCCTTTCGCCGTCGAAAATCTGATCGCCGCTCCTCCTTGTTTGATTGAAGTTGAAAGGGACTTGTCGACGACCTCGTGCAAGTTAAAAAATTGGTGACAATGGAAAGCGAGGACAGCGCTGAGAGTTCCTCGGCCTCCGAAACTGAAACAGAAACCCAACAAGAAGATAGAAATGTCGAGGCGGTATTCACAGCTCGCCCTTACCAAGTGGAATTACTAGAAATGGCTCTGGAAAGAAACACAATCGTTTGTCTCGGAACGGGAACTGGAAAAACATTCATCAGTGTAATGCTAATAAAGGAACTCTCTCACCAGATCAGAGAAATCTACAAAAACGGTGGAAAAAGAAGTTTCTTCCTTGTTAATACAGGTTAGAAAGTATTATTTTGTTTAAGTTTTGTGTTTTAACACAAGAAACAGGTGGAGGTGGGGTTTGTATGGGTAGCTTACCGATGTCGGTGAACTTTTCGTCAGGACCACAATAGCCACCGCCTTCCGTTGGTTTTCAATTTGCAAGTTAGATATTCCCTAAAATTTCATCTTAAATTGTACTGTAATTTGACTTGAGATTTTTAGCTTTTAAAATCAGTACCCTATGTGGTCCTTGGTCCGGACGAAAACGACGTAAATGAGTATTTGTAATTTTAGAAGAGAATTAGTGAGCTGAAATTTGTCTTGTGAGTTACCGTAACATTTCACTAACTTGTGACCAACCGACAACTTCTGAGCTTTGTTGAAAATCCTCCATTATAGAAAATGACCGCTCCGTTTGAAGGCCCCTGGCCGGCCAGTGGTTCCTTGGTTCGGCCACTTTGGCCACTTGTAACGTTCATAGCACCAACTGATCTAAATTAAATTCCTGTATATTTTCTATAGGCAGCATTTTCACTTCGAAACCAAAATGAGATCTCAGAGTAAAAGGTTATAGTTTTGACTTATGAAGAATTAATAGCGGAGCTCTCGCGCGCGCGAAGCGCTCGCAGCGGAGCGCCACGGTAAGAAAATTTGGTAATCCGGCTATGCATCCAAGAAATTTTGGTTCCGAGAAAATCGTCCGTACGAAGATTTCATACGTTCACCGGCGGAAAATGTAAAGCGCATACTCTGCAAAAAATGACACCTGATCTATTTCGGGCCATGTCATTGGCTCCGAGGCAAAAACGCCCGCGAAATGTTGTTGAGATGAAAGAGGTGATGACAGCTTTTTTCTTTTTGGCAGTGACAGCGCTGCAATTTCTTGCCACTGTAAGAGATCAAAAATTATTTAGGTCGACCTTTTGAGTGAAGTGTGTTCTCTAGAGAATATAGCGTCCTGGAACTGGCGAAAAATCGTAGTGGCACGGTATGATTCAGTGTTATTGACGTTGAGATCGCTGGTTTGCATGTGGAAGACAGGCAAAAAAGGTAAGTAATTTTTACTCTCTTTGTTTACTGCATCTTCCGTGCAACTCGGTACAAAAAGAAATTTTTCAGTAGTGTAAGAAAACGTATTGGGCTTTGTTTTGGTATATAATTTAGCTTATACCGAGTTGCACGGAAGCGACAGTTTTAATTTGTTAAATGTGTATCCCGTTTTTGTGTCAAAATTCACGACTTTGATTTTCGACAACATTCGACTATTCATCGAAGAGCGTATTACCACGCTATCCAAAATGTATTTGTTGTTTTGTTCAAGTTTCTAATCACGCATACAACAAAAAAAAGGAGAGGGAGAGACAGTTTTAGGGTTTGTTTTGTTAATATGACTTCGCTTGTACTTTGCAGAGATGTCAAGTTCCAGGGAGAAGCTGGCTGGAGATTTTCTCGAGCGCTGAAGACGTGAGTTTTCTAATGGGGTCCGGAGGCATGCCGTGGAAACATTTAAAATCTGTGAGACATTTAAAATCTGAGGTCCCCTAAATCACTTTTCCTGCATTCTGAGGTCATTTAAGGGTCTGATGAAGGAACTAAATCCGCTTGACGCGAGTGACTCTCAATACGTCTTACGATTAAACTCTTTATTATAAGGAGACTTACTCTCTTCACTTCACAGTTCTTCACAACTTCTTTCTAACAACGTCTTTCTTCAACTAACCTTGTGTCTTCTGCAGTTCACCTTCTTTCGCTCTAAAATCTACTTCTTCGCATCTCGCTATTTATTTGTTTGATGGTCATTGAAAATAGGTTTAAATATATAATAATGCGTAGGATGTATCTGCCAACAAAAACGAGCCACAAAACTTACACTTCCTTAATTAATTACTAAAAAGGTCGAAATGTTCATTTAAAAGATAAGTATCTTCCGAGGGACGTCAAGTTTGGAGACAAGATGTCGCACTCTCAAAAAGCACACTGTTAATATTAATGTTTCTGCATGCAAAGCTTACTTTAGTAAATTGCATTGGTTATTCATCATGTTGCATTTTTAAAGGTAAATACTTAGAATCTTCTAGAACCTTAAAAGCCTATTGATCGGATATTTTTCGAACTTTTATTAACTTTCCATATATCTCCAAAATCGGGAAGATAAGTCCTGTAACAGGTCACACATTTTACTCATGTTACAATGGCTAATTTCCAGGTTGTAAAAGGCTGAAAATATGAAAATATTACACCTTCTTTTCTTTTTTTATGATGTATTTATTTTAAAAATTGTTAACCCGAGTTCCGCTGGAGATTTTCCTTGCTCGGCTGGAGAGCTGGAGATTGGGTCTGAAAGCTGGAGACTTGGCATCTATGAGTTTGTTGCTAGAAAAACTGTGTTTAGATGCTAAATCTCCGCGTGTATACAGTGTTTATGGCAAAAAAAATGGGCCTACGCTTGGTTCAACTTAATCTCGTGTCACTCGGTACAAAAGGAAATTATAACGAAGGTAAAGAAGTATTCTTAGCCATTGTCTTGGTGTGTAAATTGTCTTGTAGCTAGTGGATCGAAAGAGGCCGGGTTGCGACAGTTTTCTAAAGTGCGCAGTTTGAAACGTGACTTTGATCGATCGATCCACTTTTCATTGTTGTTGTACATATTACAGCTTTGTATGTAACAGAAATTTCAGTTTTATCGTAACTGTAGAATGACAAAATGTAAGTGTTTTTAAAACGCTTAGACCGTCTCGGTGCTACAGTTCGATAGGTCCAGCAACATTTGGATTTGTTAAAAAAATCTGTTTACAATGTGCACAGCTACTCTACGTTTAAGCTTGCAATTTTATAATTGAGGATCGAAGTTTCGACTAAAATATTTTGCTTCTAAATTTTGCTTGGGATTATTTATAACGAGTTCCTTGTTATTTTCCTTGTTTGGAGCTGCACCCAAGTACATGATTTCCCCCGCGTACAATTTTTTAGCACTAAATTTTTGTACGCAATGCTTTCTGTGGGGATGCTTCTTTGCTCGAAAATTGGAAGGAGGTGAACAGCGTATATTCCCCGTGAATGCTTTTGTTTTTCTGTCCATCGAAATGGCTTATTTTTTTGGAGCAAAGTTGTGAATTGAAGATAGAGTTAACACACTATTAAGGAATCAAAAGTTCTTTCCAAGAAAAAAAAATACAGTAATCATCACAAATAAAACTTACAGGGGTTAAAAGTTTGAAGTAAACTTTGATTCCTTATGAAATTTTTAGTTGGATCATGTTGATGAATGCAGTTGTGTAGGATATGCAGTTTCCAATTTTGATCTCTGTCAGAATCATGAGAGAACACTAAATACAGGTCTCATTCAAACTTTATAATATCATCGTAATTACCTTCTGTTTCTATTCCTATAAACTTATGGTCAAGCCTAAATTTTACACGAATTCAATGTGATATTTATTTGAAGAGGTTGTTGTTTCACGTGATATAGTTTTCACTTTCAATACTGTGAAGTCGAGTTTTTTCTTAGTTGTTGGCTAAGGCAATGTTGAAGTATTTGATATGTTAACATACTTAATTTGTTCATTTCTCTTCAGGAAAGATTGATGATCTTGGCGATTTATCGGAGGGTTTTTGCGTTACGAGTTTGGGGGGCTTATACTTGGAGGGGCTTATACATGGAGGGCCTTATTTTCGGAATTTTATGGTATACCAAAAACGTTAGATTAACCAATTGTTACAGTGTGAGTGCACTGTAATTTTTAGGGAGTTATTATAACTCCAAAAATGGAGTAAACATTTCAGGTATGGGATAACCCCTTTTTTGGGGTTACTTTAACTCCTCATTTAACTCCAAATTTGGGGTCATTTTTACTCCTGAAAAAGAGTTCTTTGTTCTTTTCACTCCCAGGTTGGAGTTAAAATAACTCCGAAAATTGGGTTATTCTCACTCCTTACATGGGTTGTTTTTTCTCTTTTTGGAGTTACTTTAACTCGGAAAGTGGAGTAAAAATTTTAGGTACAGGATAACTCCTTTGTTGGGGTTATTTTAACTCCTCAATATCTGGGGTCATTTTTACTTCGAAAAGAGTAATTTTAAACTCCTTTTCGGAGTTAAAATAACTCCCAAAAATAACTCTACTGTAAGGAGTTAAATCAACCCGAGTAGAGGAGTTATTAAAACTCCTTGAAAATTACTGTGTGGGGTCTTTTTACCTACCATATTTTATTTTCTCTCAGTTCCTTTAGCCATCCAGCAAGCCAGGGTGATTAAGAAACACACAGATTTGAAGGTGCAGCATTATGTTGGCGAGATGGGAGTCGACTTCTGGGACAAAAATAAGTGGGAAAATGAGTTCAATAAAAACAATGTTTTGGTGATGACTGCCCAGATTTTTCTGAATCTTCTACTCCATGGTTTCATCAAACTTTCACAAGTAAATCTTCTGATATTTGATGAATGCCATCATGCCAAGAAGAGTCATCCATACAAGCAAATCATGAACCGTTTTGCTGGTTGCCAAGAAACTGACTATCCAAAGATCATGGGTCTAACAGCATCTGTAGTAAATAAAAAGGTGAAACCATGGAAAATTGAATCTGAAATCCAAGAACTGGAATGCACACTGAGGTCAACATGCGAGACAAGTCAAGATGAAGATGTTGAGAAGTTTGCTGCAAAACCAAATGAACAGATCATTCAGTTTTCAAATGCTAACATTGACGTCAGCACAGTTATCTTACTTCAAAAACTTCAAGAAGTTTTAAGACCAGAAATAAACTACCTTGGTGACTATGAAGTGCAAGGGAATGGTCTATCATTGGCTGCCCACTCGTTTGCCTTGTCGGCACTGACTGAGTGTCAGGAGATTTTATCAGAAATTGGTCCCTGGGCTGCCAACAAAGTTGCAGGGTACTTAATCAAGGACCTACAAGGTATGGTCTAAATCGCAGGGGCAAGCAGCACCTAGCGGTCCCCTGGTTTTTGTTGTTGTTGTTTTTTTTTTCATTCAAACCATATTGTGGGTTTCCTCCAATTTTTAACGTATTTAAGTGCAGCCTTGAAGTGCATCATGAAAAAACACACTAAAAGAGGACCTTAACAATATACATAGCCAAACATAAGTATTTCATTTGTTACAGTCCGGCTAACTTAGAAACAAGGAATTTATAAACAGATTATATGCCTTGTCTTGGTAATGCAATACTGCATATAATGTTTTGGTTATTAATGAAGGTGGGAACTTTTTTTAGTTTTTATAGACACGGCATGCATGTTTCAAGACTGCAAGGAAGGAAGAATGTTCTGTGAGTTTAGCAAAACACAGCTGCAACAACTACAAGGTGTTTATAACAACTATACATCCACTACAGGCAGTGAGACTTCCAGCACTAAAAAGTTATACATAATGCCTAAAGTAAAGGAACTGTTGTCTGTATTAAAAACAGAATATGGGAATGAACAAAACAGTGGTGAGTTAGTCAGTTTCGTTAATTGTAACAAAGTGCTTGCAAATAGACTCGACTTCCTTGCATTTATATGATCTTAAAGCTGTCATGTAACTAATGTCATCCTACAAATTATCCTCCCTTTGGGCAGAAACAAAGTGCCCTTGACATTTTTGAATCTAATGTGAAACAAAGGAAATCAAGAACAAATGCAATGAACACTTAACCACCTAGTAGAGGGGTTGCTACTCTCTACTGGATGCCCTGCATGGTTCCACATCTCATCCCAGCCTGCTGAAAAAAAGATGTTCCCATTCTGTAATCTTACAGCCTATACTCATGAAAAAAGGTTTTACGTAGTAGGATTTCTCAGCCTGTGAGTAAGCTCCCTATGGGATATCTGGGCTCCGCAAGGAAGATAGAGCTACTTTTTGACTCAGCGCAATGAAGATACTTAGAATTGGGGTAATGCATCTCGACTAAAATGCTGTAGACTAAGGAGATGAGGTTTGGGGGAGGTTGTTCCATTCAACTGATCCTATTCCCCAAGCCAAGAGAAAAACGTAGAGAGAGCAGGATCGTAGCGTCCATATACGCACCTACGCACGTGCGTACAGCTGAAATCTAGAAAATTTTTTTCCTGAACGCCTTTTATCATTTAATCGGGAAGACTTTTTGGAATTATATTGGTGTCTTTCTGCTAACGTTGCCTTCATCCCTATGTTATTCCATAAACAGATGGCAAGAAACGTTATAGTGGGGTGAAAAACGAGAAAAGTATACCCTACCCCGTCACAACATTTTCCTTCGTATTCATTTCTCTAAAATGTCCTGCAATTAACGCAGGAAATGGCATTTCCCAGACTGTACAATTAAAAAGGAGAGTATAACCCCACGCCCCATTTTTGTTTGGAGAGCCTTCGACGCTCTAACTTTTCTTCCAGTGCGTATGTCTTCAAAAACTCACGCTACGCCCCTGCAGAGAGCATGCTCACAGACTGCAAAACACGTCGCTGTGTCCAAGCCTTTGGCCTCATAATTTGTGGCGTCTCACACACCATCTTGAGTCTCACCTTGGGTTTGTTGATTTGAAAAGGAACAGAATGCATCCGTCAGGCTGGTCCTGCAATGGAGATCGTCACTAGCGTACTATTGTTTTTGACTTATAGGGAACAAGCTTTGTGGCATAGTGTTTGTAGAAAGGCGATGCACAGCTCTGGTACTCAGCGAGCAGATAAACATTGCCGCAAAATCAGATCCTGAATTGTCCTTCATCGAAAGCAGCTTTGTGATTGGCCATGGCACAGGTGGAAAGGCTAATTACTCCAATGAAACAGAGATGAACTTCAAAAAGCAAGAAGAGGTATTGCGACAGTTCAGGCTACATGAATTCAACCTTTTGATTGCAACTTCTGTTGTTGAAGAAGGATTGGATATCCCAAAGTGCAACTTGGTATGCCGGTTTGATTTTCCAATGACACTACGCTCCTATGTGCAGTCAAAGGGCCGAGCTCGTGCCAAGGATTCCAACTACATTATTCTTGTAGATAAAAAAGATTTCGTGGAAAAGCGAGGCGAATTAGAGGTTAGCGATCAGTTCTTTCTTTTTATTCTTAGGGTACATAAACGTGACTATTCGATTCACTGTGTGATGAGAATGTTCTTACGATGTAAGAATACATTGCACTTCCAACAACGTCTTTAAAGGGTTATTTGTTCTCCTTCTTTGTCCATGACGGATAATAATTACCAGCAAAGAAGACGTAAGAAGTCATCATTTTCTAACTGGTTTTCTGCTGGGTGAAAGTGAGGTTCACACTCCTGTTTTCTAACAGTTTAAAAATTGTCATTTTGGTCATGTCACTCTATGCTAGGAGTTTCTTAGAATCCAACTTCGATAATTCCTCTTACGTTGCCAACGTTAAGACGCCTTCCAATTGAAACGCTCATGTGATTCAGGAACAGTAGGTAAAGGTATGACGGTATATTTATGACAAAATTCAATAACCTAAAAGTGAAAAGAGTTAAGTCAAATCTGAAATATACCAAGTCAAAGTTGGTAGAGAAAGACCACGGTAAAAGGAAATACTAAAAAAGCCACTATCGTACAGGTATCACGCAGAAAAAGGCATCGCGCTAAAAGGCAACACGCAAAGAGGCATCACGTAAAAAGGCATAACGCAAAGAGGCAACACGCAAAAAGGCACCACGCAAAAAAACAACACGCAGAGGGATCACGCAAAGAGCCAACACGCAAAAGCAGTACGCAAAGAGGCATAATGCAAAAAGGCAACACGCAAAAAGGCATTGCAAAAAAAGGCAATTTGCAAAAAGGGCATAACGTGAGAAGTTTACTTAGGATCCAGGCCTGGATCTTAAACAGTATTTTTTAGTACATACTGCAAGCAAACCGAAATGGTATTGGAACGAGACATTCTATCTTGCTCACCTCCTGAGGTGCTTATTCGGTACCCTAGGCGTGCCCTGATTGATAATTACAACAAGTCCAAAACGGAATTGACAGCGATTGCATTTCTTTCCGGCAGGAAAACTTAATTAATTTACTTTTGAGATCGGCACATCTTTACCAAGACGGCGGACAGGTTTTGGCGGTTCTTCGTGCAACGTTTTAAAACAGCAGTGGAAAATTGCCGTCAATCTGAGGATGATCCCACCATATGAAGGAACTTATCACGTTACGCCCTTTTTGCAAATTTCCTTTTTTGCGATTCCTTTTTGCGTGTTGCCTTTTAGCGTTTATGCCTCTTTGCGCACTGCCTTTTTGCGTGTTGCCTCTTAACGTACTGCCTTTTTGCGTGTTGGCTCTTTGCGTGATGCCTCTTTGCGTTATGCCTTTTTGCGTGTTGGCTTTTTACGTGATGCCTTTTTGCATGTTGCCTCTTTGCATTATGTCTCTTTGCGTGTTGCCTTTTACCGTGATGCCTTTTTCTGCGTGATACCTATATGATAATGGCTTTTTAGTATTTCTTCCTTTTAGTGTGGTCTTTGTTTTACCAACTTTGACTTGGTATATTTCAGACTTGATTTAACCCTTCTCACATTTAGGTTATTGAATTTTGTCATAGATATACCCTCATAGTAAAGTGTCTTACATACGCTTTCGACAACAAAAATTGTGATGTTTGTGTCACAATTTATACGGAGAACTATTAACTTGTTGGCATGAATGGTGTCTCAGTTGAACAGCCGTGTTCATATAGTCATATTATATTTTTGCGAGTTTTTACCCTATTCCTAGACTAACAATCAGCTTTGGATAACAGTGTGTTGCTTGTAATCGTCAGATGATGCGTGAAATTGAGAATTGTCTGTCAAAGAAGTGCCATGGCCGCAAAGAGCCTAGTAAAGAGGAGTGTGAAGAAGTGGCTGGCGCAAACAGTTTCTTACCTCCATATGAACCTGAGAACCGTACAGGAGCAATAGTCACCATGGAGAACAGCGTTTCTCTCCTTAGCATGTAATATTACGGAGCTTAAGCAAACACATTTTTGAGCAACGCATATCAACCGGAAGTAGACTTTTTGCATTCTTGGGCAGTAGTTTTGCCCAAATTTTCTAGCCAGTGTAACGGGCAGGATTGTTGTGCCCGGGGTACTTTCTTGGCGGTGGAGCCGCCAAACGAAGTAAGAGCGAAGCCGCAAGGGAAAATCCGCCTGCCACATCTCCTTTGTCACCCAATCAGGAAGAGCGGTTTAATACGAAACTGACAAAAAATTAAAAACATAGCAGAGAATCAAGCCATGGACAAAACAACTACATGTTGCAAGTTGTTCAGGATCCAGGCAGGGTACTCTGCAGCTACTCCAAACTGAAGAAACTGAAACCTTTTTTAAAACCTTTATTTAGAATCCTCCACCCGTTTTTCTGTGCCAGTTTTCAATGATCCAGCGCTCTTTTGATGTTTAGCTCTGATGGATCAGGGAGTTTGCAATGCATGACAAAAGGTGACAGAAAAGATGCGCTTTTGTTATGGAGCCAATTTCCTGTCGTAAAACGAGATTAGCCCCGCATTAAATGGGAAAAAGCCTCACTTCCGGTTGCTGTACGTGGTTAAAAATCGACTCGGCTTAAACTCCCCATTGGGTTTTTCAGGGCTGCCAACTGTTTATTTTTGTTTTGTTCAATTGGTCTTGTTTTTGTTCTTAACCTTTAGGATCGTAAACGAACTTATTCTTTGGTTACTTGGTTCCCGTGCCCACTGCTTGCGGGTACTGGCTCAAAATGGCATTGTGCTCCTGATATATAACTGTGTACACATTTGCCCCATTTTTCCCTGTCAGAAGTTATTTTGAAACGTAAGTGAAGCAGAAAGCTATGGAAAAGCAAAGCAGTGGATTCCCTCAAAATGAACAGAAAACGTGTGCACATAGGGAGCCTGTGCCACTTAAGTTCCCCAGGTACAAGGTCTCGTGCCCGGGCACCAAGTTTGAACATAGCCGTAGTAAATATGCACAGCAGAGGAGATTCCCCCCCCCCCCCCCCCCCCAAAAAACACACCACTTTAGGCCCCCCCCCAGCTACCCCTTTTGCCGCTTTATCCGTTCGGGCCTCCCGTGAACCGGTATTTTTAAGACAAGCCCGGAAGAGCACCCGCCTGAACTCCGGCCAAATCACACCCCCGTATGCCCTCTGCCGCTTGAAATTTTTTTTTTTAATGCGACGGCGCCCCCCCAGAATCACCCTCTTTCCCCACCCGCCCCTCTTCCCATCTCAGGTAAAAGGGCTCGTGCCCGGGGCCCAAAGTTTAACCAAGCCCTAGGAAAAATGCCCCCCCAAGGGGATTCCCCCCCCCCCCCGCTCCGCAACAAACACACCACTTTAGGCGCCTGCCCAGCTAGCCCTTATGCCGCTTTAGACGTTCGCGCCTTCCGTGAACTGGTATTATTAAGACAGTGGACTAGGCTGAATAAATGCTGTGTGCAAATGCTGAGTACATTCTCTTTCTTTCAGACTAAATATCAAATATTCTTTGACCTTGACTGTTTCTCTATCTTACCATGCTTCAGGTACTGTTCCATGTTGCCAAGTGACAGATTCACACACCTTAGCCCAGTTTACAAGATAGAGGAAGTTGAGGAAGATGGACAAAAATTATTTAAGTGTGAACTGGAACTGCCAATTAACTGCCAGCTGCGAAGAACTATATGTGTGAGTGCAAATAAAATCACTGTTCTGACTCTAGTGGAGTAAATTGAAGATAAGTTACCTTTAATAATAAGCAGAACCTTAAGCTTTAGGCCTTCCAGCCTCGTCAAAAAAAATCAAAAGTGGCTTATTTGCTGAAGCATCTTCACTAAACGCATGTACTCGAAAAGCTTTCAATGATTCAGAACGATCGTAGTTGAATTTCGACAGTACACGGTCAATTTATCCTTTCCCGTCAGATTCATAAATTAATACACTTGGCAACTTTTTTCCTATTCCAACAGGGCAAGGCGATGCCAAGAAAAAACCTCGCAAAAATGGCTGCTGCTCTCTACGCCTGCATAGAGCTTCACAAGATTGGCGAACTTGATGATAATCTCTTGCCAGTCCGCAACTTATCAGATGATGAAAGTGAATCGGAAGAAGAAGACGATGAGTCTCCTGAAAAGGAAAGAAAGAAAGCAGGAACAAAGAAACGAAAGCGAGTTTATGAAAGAAAGGTAAGGATAATCCAGGGTAAACGTCTCCGTTAACACAAAACAACACGGTTGTGATACAGACAATTTTTTTCGGCGCATAGTATACGGGGCACGAGATAAACGTTGCACGTTGACTCGTCGCCCCCCTCGACAAGCACCACTCTTAATTTTTCCTTTGCCTGCTACGAAACCCATGTAACGTGACCACAACATTTGTTAATAGGGCGTTATGGCAACCACGATGGCAAAGGCAGCGAAAACGTCGTTGGTTAAGTACATTCGCATTCTTGAAAACTATTAGCGATTATTTCAAGTCGTTCAATTTGTCAAATGCAGGCAAATTTTCCAGGAGTAAAATCCTTTGGAGTTCAATTAGGTTCAAGAAGAGAAAGAAAATATAATTGTCGTTTGTCAGGTCCGATGTTAACATAATGGGAAATTTCACGTCGTATTCGTAGTGTCAGTAACGAAATGTACCAATTAATGTGATGCTCGTAATGAGTTGTTGTTTTGCTTCTTGAACCTATTGCTTTTCTCCTAATCCTAATATCGTCGCCGTCGTGGTTGCTCAAACTCCATTTTGAATCACCTATAGAAATACATAGCACTTATCTGCAGGGCCTGGGGATTTAAATCTTGGTCTTATACGTTACTGGGCTGATCACTTAGAACGGACAGTCCCGTCTCAGCATCAAAACTGGCCTGCGTAGCAAGCGTTCCGCTGGAGTTATGGCGCGAAAGTTGTCCCGAGCGCAATAAGGTAGAGGAAGGAGAGAAAAGGGAATTTTTAGGTTTAGGTCGCAACCTTTTTCTTTTCTCCCCTTCCCCTTCCCCACCTTCCACTTTTTTTTTATCCTCGTTTCAACTTTCGTGCAACTAAGTTCGAGCGGAAACGCTTTCCATGTAGACTTGTGAGATGGAGGAGAAGAGCTCAATATTGAAGTGCTGATGGTGGTTGGCATCTTTCTGAGGGCACGTACGATGTTTTCTCGTAAGTACATGCCAAGCGCCATGGTTTGGCTCTTTTCCATCACATTTGCACGCACTGTAATTCTTTCTTTTCTTTTTGCTTAACTAGGTCCCTCAGGTATTCAAGGGTAGCTTGCCGCAGGAGAATCAGCCCCAGTATCTCACGGCTATCAGTATAACCATCAACAAACTCGCTAACCAACAGGGCCTTGACATGAGCCAGCGATACTTTACAGGTGGTGAATGCCACCTGTTTGGTTTATTGACGAATGTTCCAATTCCAGCGGTTAGTTCTAGTTCAGTCAGATGTTAGCTTTGATAGTTGGGTGATAACGCTTTTGTTCTCGGGTAAAACTTTAATTCTTTATCTCTTAAGAGGGTCTAAGAGCCTGAAAAAATGGCTTTAAATTTCATTTCCGAAAAAATTAATGATAAATAAATGGTAATGCGAGAAATAAATGCCATAAAACTGGGTTTAATATTGCGTGTTACTTCAGAAAAACATTATGATCCTGAATATACAGGTTAAACTAGAAGAACCTGATTGATTGATTGGCTGACTGATTGTGGATTCAATTATAACTGATTAATCACTGATTAATTGACGTTATTTATTTAAATCCAAAGGTGAGATCTTTCAAACTTTATCCCGACTATGGAGAAGTCACAGTAACAATAAAATGTCACAAGTCACCACTGGGCACAGGGATTGCAAGACAAGACTTGAAAACTATTGAAAAATTCCACTGTTTCTTGTTCAGCCAAGTTCTTCGCGAGCCCGTGGAATTCAGACCCAAAGAGCCCGACGGCAGTACAGATGGTTATTTTGTAGTTCTCACGAAAAGTAATGGATTTGACGTGGACTATGATTCTATGCGCCATGCTTTAACAAGGCAAACTTCACTGGAGCGGTCAACCGGTGAATCCAGCAAGATTGACGAGGACATGGTGGTCTCACAAAATTACAAGAAGCTGTGTGGACAAAAGTTGGAAAGGTTGGCTGTTTTAAAGGTTCGTCATGATCTGAGTCCTTTGTCGCCCTTTCCAGACAAATCCAAAGCCAAAACGTATGAAGGCTACTTTAGACTGAAACACGAAAAGTTCTTCACTACTATGAAGCAGCCTCTTATTGAAGTGAAACGAATACAGAAGAGGGTCAATTTCCTGAAGGACGGAAAAATGAAGACTAAGTTTGGGCGCGGCGTTATGGAACTTTTCCCGGAATTATGCAACATACTGCCAATTGCTTCCTCCCTTCTCTCCCTGTCTCTGATGCTGCCGTCAATTTTATACCGTGTGAACGCGCTTCTGCTTGTTGGTGATGTCAAGCAGATGGTCGCTGGAGTGCGTGACAACACAGATGAATCTAGCCTCCCTTCAATTGGTGCGGGAAATGCTAACGATGAAAAGAGTTTACTCCGTACTGATAATAACAGCTTCTCTTCGAAGATGGACGTGGGTCATAAGGATTCTAGTGATGGCGATGTTGAAGACTTTCGGTTTCGAAAGCTGTTTTCAGATTTAAAATCACTGTTTAGTGGAAACCGAAGAGCTGCTGTTCATCCCGACTCCGCTCTCGTGCTTCAAGCTTTGACCACCAAGCACAGTGGAGACGCCTTTAATCTAGAAAGGCTCGAGATGCTCGGAGACGCTTTCCTAAAGCTGGCGGTTTCACTTCACCTCTATTGCACCTACCAAGACAAAGATGAAGGCAAACTAACACAGCGCAAGGTAAGACAAATCAGCAATTTGGCGCTGTTCCGTGCGGCTAAAAAGAGCTTTTTAGCAGGATTCCAACAGAGCACGCGACTTGCACGTGATGTATGGTGTCCCACGGGATGTCAGCAGGGTAGCGCTGAATCAGATGTTGTGACGCCTAGTTCCGAAGCTACAGAAGTGGAAGTTGATGAAGACGGTAACGCTGGAGATCAGGGCTTTGGAAGCAGGCGAGACAACTGTAACACTCAGGTCCTAGCAGATAAATCTGTTGCTGATAGCATGGAAGCTCTCATTGGAGCGTATTTGATTTGCTGTGGTTACACCGGAGCACTTCGTTTCATGAAGTTCCTGGGTCTTAAGGTCCTTCCTGAGAATGATGACGTCGACGCGGACATTGGTGAGCTCGCTGAGAAGAGCAGAGAAGGGTGTTATGCCAGATTTTGGCCTGAGCAACCAAACAATCCACGAGCTTACCAAAGCCAAGATATGGTGGCAAAGATGGTCTCTGGCTTGGAGAATTTTGAGCACTCTATTAAGTACACTTTCAATTCCAAATTGTATCTGGTAGAAGCTTTGACACACGCCTCGTATCACCTTAACCGCGTCACGCCCTGTTATCAAAGACTGGAGTTTCTTGGAGACGCCTTGTTGGATTTCCTGGTAACACAACATCTTTATTTCCGTCAAGCAAAATTGTCACCCGGTAAGCTGACAGATATTCGCCAGGCTTTGGTGAATAACAACATCTTTGCAACCATTGCTGTGAAATACGAGTATAACAAGTATTTGAAGGAGATGTCTCCGGATTGGTTTAGATCCATCGACAATTTTATTACTAGACTGGAAGACAAGAAAGAAGAGAATACTAATCCGGTAGGTAGGACTTAAAGTCTTTCTCTACCTTTAATGGAGGATGACATTCTCTTTGCTGCCTTTTGAGTGTTACGTTTGTTAGCCGCCATTTTAACAAACCTTCAGAGAACAACGGGTACCAGCGTGCGGAGCTGTGTTTCATGTGGTCGTTTGGGTAATCAATATAAGCAACACCTACCAATCACAGCAAATGTTGGCTGCCCAAACAATTGCAGACATCGTAGCAGGGAAAACAGGTTCTCAGGTTCCCAAACATTTCTAGACGGGAAAATGTTGTTCTTTCACATGTTACTGGCCCCAGTTTTGCTGGCCAAGAAGGTCAGTTGAGTTAGAGTTTCAACGAGTTCAAAAATAATTGAGAGACGGTACCATGATCTTGTGTTTGTGCTCCCCCCTCTCCCCGTGGTAAATGTTGCTAGCAATACAAGTATGCTCAAAAGTTGGAGGAACAACTTTGAATGGAGGGGTGGAAGGGCGTAAGTGTTGTGTCTCACAGTTGTGTGACTAGCAGCAATTGTAAGTCAAAAAAGGTCGAAGTTTCGTGAGAGTGTATCAACATTTTTGTAACTGTGTCTAGTCAGCAAGCACTTGTGTCATTAACAGTGCAGGTGCACGAACGAGTTGTTGGTTCTCGTTCTGGCTCCAAGAGGTTGGAGGTTTTTCCCCGGGGACTTCTGCTCTCCCCCCTCTTCAAAAACCAACACCATCAAATTGCAATTCGATCTGGAACACACGAACACTTTTGAAAGTGTTCCTCGGAGGTCCTCGGTCTTTCTTGGGTAAACATATCATATTTTTTACAAGTACCCTACATGCCCACTTTATGTCCATTCTAAGCTTTCCGAAGTAGACCAGTCTCGTACCAGATGACTGAATAGGCCATTAGCACGTAGGCGGCATAAAGCTGCAGCTTTCAGGATCCTTCAGAGTTTTTTCTTGTCCAAGTTATGACTAGGTACACTAGGTATGGCCCCCTCGGAGACCCAGGGGCAGTCAGTCGGGTCGCGAGAAAAGGCGGGACGAAAGTTTTCAAGTACGGGCGAGAGAGCCCCTGTGTATCGACTCTCACCGAACTATTTCCAAAAATTCAAGGGGATGCCGGCTCCTGGTTGGGCACAAAAAAATGCTTTGTATTATTGTGCCCAATCGGCGAACAGTTTCTCCTGAGGTCTTTTCGTGAGTTCGTACTCAACTGCTATTGTCTCGCCACACTTGCCCGGTTCGTTCAACAAGCTTGTGCGTTGAAGGGAAACTTTTATTTTCTACTTTCCTAACCAGAAAAGAAGGAACTACCGACGAGTCGAAAAAAAGTTTGGGATGCTATCAGCAGGAGCAATTGAATTTGCCCCGATAATATTCTGTTTTTCACGTCAACTGCAAGACTACCCGTGAAAATGCCTAATTTCACGTTTTGTGAAGGAAGTAAACAAGCAATGACAAAATTCATTCTCTTCATGAACTTGGATATGGTTTATAGAAATTCAGCTCCAGAAGTGTTCGCTTGCATTTGACAAAGTCGGCGAGTTGGAATAATCACGACAGAGACTGAAAAAAATATGAATTCACTTTTCCATGCGACGTTTTCGTGGCTGTCAGCCGTCGTTGTATCTTTTAAAAACACTCTATAAATATTTACGCAAGACGTGGCTGGTGCAATTGTGAATACCCGTTGTAAGCTGAAGCTTGTATTTTTGGAAAAGCGTCTTTAGTTTTCGGGCAGACAGTATTTTAAAATCACATGGGGATTTTATATCAAACGGAAAGTTTCCTGACTGCGTGCATTTCTTTGGTGCATGAGCCAGACAAGCCGTGATTGAGACAATAGCCGTCGCGTAAGAACGCACGAAAATAACTCAGGAGATGTGTTCGCCGATTGGGCACAACAATACAAAGCATTTTTTGTACCCAATCAGGAGCTGGCATGCGCTTGAATTTTTGGAAATGGTCCGGTGAGAGTCGGTACCCCGGGGCTCTTCCGCCCTTACTTGAAAACTTTCGTTCCGCCTTTTCTCCAGACCCGACTGACGGCCCCTGGGTCTCCGAGGATGTAGGTATGGCAAATGAGGTATAGGTGACAAAAGGTAGTGTAGTAGTTAAAAGAGACTGAAACATCTTTATCCCAGATTCCCTTGTTCACATTATTCTGGTTCCTGGTGAATCTTTGGTGTTCATTAGGCAAAGCGAAAAAAGACGCAAGGATTTTCTTTGTATTTCACAGGGGACTGCAGATCCATTTATCATCGTATCTGAACAAGACGAAGAAGGGATCGAAGCTCCCAAGGTCCTGGGTGATATTTTTGAGTCCGTGGCTGGTGCAGTGTTTTTGGACAGCGGTATGGATTTCACCAAGGTCTGAGGAGTGTACTACCGCATGATGCAGCCTTACATCGGTATGACACCAGTTTTGAAAGTTAGATTATGTCCCCTACTGGTGACCCAACAGCCATTTCTACGTCCATGGTCACCCGAGCCCTACAGTACTTGTCGCCTGTAAAGTTTTTAGCAAAGACGGTACCTGTTTTAAAGACCTTGTATTTAATCGGGTGTTGATTTGAGGATAGAACGAGCGACCTTCTCCCCAAAAATTGGGGGGGGGGGGATTTGTGGATTGGCTCCATTCAGGATGTTTAACTCTAATATGACGGCTATTTATCTATTTATTAAAACGGTCGCGATAACTAACCACAATATAAAGGACACCATTTGTTAGACAAAAGAAAAGTCTTTGTCGTTTTTGAAAATTGTCCGTGTGAGCGCATGTACGTTAATAACAGGGAGCCCTCTTTAAGGGTTATAACGAATTTAAGCGGTGCCATAAATATTCTGACGAGCGTCTGTCATTTTTATAGTGGTTTCCCCCGGAAATGTCCCGCTCTTGAGACCATTGCTTTACCAACTAAACTTACAGTGCTGCGGTTTAAGAACTCATTTCTCAAAGTTTCGGTCTCATGATAAATAAAAACTGTTACTGTTAACTTGACCATTTTGATACTTTTGCATGTTACCATGGTCAAACTCATTCAACAGGTTGCAACATTAACTATTACCATTCGCACTATATTAAAGAAATAAGTGTTTGTTCTTTGTCAGACCAATACTCTGAACACATACCGATCAATCCCATCAGGCGCGTGTACGAGGAGGACAACGAACGGAAATTTAGGTACGTGAGTGATGAAAATATACATATTCCCGTGTAGGATATACGACGTAATTCTGAAAAAAGGACTTGTCGCTCTCAACTCATACTGTTTTTTTCTATAGGTTTTTCACTGTTTTCTCTCTTTTGCATGAGTTTTTCAAAAGTAGAATTATACGGATCAGGTCCTTAAATTTGTAGGCATTTCCGAGTTTGAGTTTGAATCTGAGGATGACCTACTCCAAAATGTCAAAGCCCTTGTAAAACGGAAGGTTATAAGTGTGTTCAATAATTAGTCACTAAAAATAATTAATCAACTGTGTTGAGACGGAAATATACTGTAATACTAGAAGCAAAGCGACGGAGAGCTTCACTGAGATATTGATTCCAGATTAGTTTCATCGGCAGCAAGGCTTTTTATTTATTGAAATTTTAAAAAAATCAAGTACTTACGTAGAGGCAATACCCTGAAAGTTGCTTACAAGTTGACACTAACAATAACTAGTTTTTCTAGGGCTGCGACCCCAGACAATCTTTGAAGGACTGTCCTTATCCACGGATAGTCGCAGAAGACAAACTACAAACTGTGTAGTTTGTAACAAAAAACAATCGTTTCAGGGATGCTGTTTCCTTAATCATTTATCAACTGAGTTGACAGGGAAAATTGGCCATTGTATTGCTAGAAACAAAGCCATGGAGAATCACCCACATTTAGCCGACATTGACTCAAGACTAGGTACATCATCAGCAACCTTTTCAACGACTGTTGACCTCAGAGACAGGCGATATAATTTCTGTTTATATCTTTAGCAAAGCCGAAATTCTTGAAGATGGAAAAGTCAAGTGTACTTTGAAAGTTCGCTGGGGTAAGTTCGATGGTTATGGCAGAAACTCCAAAATTGCCAAGGCAACCGCTGCAAAGCTGGCAGTGCAGGCGCTGGACAAGGACAATTGAAGGAAGTAGTTAATCAAGGGAATAAATATCACCTTGGTAACGTTTGCAGACAGAAACCGTTCAGGACAAGAATTTTAAAGTTTATAGTTCAGCCTCAAAGGAAGGCTTGCTGGCTTTTGTTAACTATAGTAAGCCTAAATTTTTATCTGGATTTGAAGTTTAAAATTTTGCTCATAGTTTAAATTTACTGGATAGATGAATCAACACATTTTTATTAGAAGACTGTTCTTTGTTGTACATTTCAACTCATATTTACCTAAATTTTTAATTTTAATTTTTGTTACAAGTGTGTACCCCCGTCTTTAAAACTCACCATTAGGGGTCACAATTTCTTTATACTTTAACCACCTAATTTGCTGTCTAGCCTACGTAGCAGGCATATTCGAAAATACGGGGAGCGGCCAATAACCATGCGCTCGAGGGAGGCCACGCGCGTGTCCTCCTTTCTTGCACACACCACAAACTTGTGAATCCGATTAAGTCTCAGCTTATCTCATTTGACCAGCAGTCGTTACAGAAAAAGGCTTTGGATGATCCGTAGCATTTGTAAAGTCATGATTTATCATGGCATGTCTTAATTTGTAATCTTACCACAGGTACTGTACAGTACTCCTATCTCGATCAATGCATTTCTTTTCCTGGCTTTAGACCACCACATTGGTTCATCAACTTTCCGAGGACAATAATTGCAAATTGTAAAACAGCCTTACTCCTCTGCTTTGTTATCATTGACTAGTAATCAGCTGTACAATGGTGTTGATAATCCTGCTTCCTCGAGCGCAGTTCGCGAGATCAAAGCTGGGGTTCTCTATTTTGTTTTCTAGTAATCGGTCCAGCTCTGCCCTTAAATCTCGCACTAGTGTAGCGACCTACAGTCAAACAGAAGTCATTGTTTAGTATTTTATTCACTAACTCCTAAGTGAATATTTTAGAGAACTTTTTACCGTTTCATTCAGATTCAAAATTAAATGTAACACATACAGAATATACAAGCATACAAACAGCAGCACAGGAGACTACTGCTTAATGGTTCTCACTCGACCGTCTAGACATAAGAATTTCACCCACAAACGCAGAGGTTAGAACCACCTTGTGCAGCCTAATATACGTTACCATAGGAAAGTACTGCTCAGTAGCTTTAATTTGGATGGTCACACTTTGGGATTTCACCGACAGAGTCAAACGTTGCCCGAGCCACATGGTACAGCATAATAAACAGTACCAAAGGAAAGTACTGCTCAATACCCTTCATTTGAATGGTTACACGTTAAGGATTTCAGCCACTCCAATTTTATGCCTGAAGAAGTTTGAGTCAATATAGAGGAGGGTGTGTTCTTTACAGCGCCATCCCCTTCCCCCTCCTTCTCGATGACAAGACTACTGGCACTGGGCAGAGTGTTTGCTTGCTAGAAGTTGTTTACTTATTCCCTTATTTAAAGGAGAGGGTAAACAGTAAAAGCCGCGACTAAGAACAGAACCTGTTCGGCTAAACTTTGCCAGTTAGGCCCCCTCTATACAAGAACCTGTTTAGCTTAAAATTAGAAACAGATTCTTATTTTCTAAAATCTGAAAAAAACATTCTCTACAATTGGGCAAATTAAATAAGTCAATAAGTCAATTCTGTTTAAGCATTTGGAGTTGTACACGAAGACTGTTATTAATTCTTTTCAAATGTTGATTGCTAAAATATAAATAGATATCCTCTTGATTATCGCTCAACTAAGGCAGTGTTGTGTAGTATTTTGAAAGTTATTTTAAGATCTGTCTCATCTTTTTAGTTTCGTTTTTGTTTCATTAAGTGGGTCAAGGTTAGTTTGGATTTTGTCCGCATAGATATTTTCCTGTTTTCATCTTTTGCTTTTACACTTACTTGAATTTTTGCTTAGCTCGCGAATTTACTTATTGCCTTTTTAGGAATATTGTTCGCTTGCCATTATCAGATGTTAGTTTACCATAGGTGGTCGTGTTTGTGATGTTAGAGCTGACCTTGGTTCATTAGTCTCGTTGAAGTTCCTGTTTGGATTTGGTTACCAATGTTTTAGTTTTTCATTGGTTTGTAGCTTCTTGCCGATCACAACCATTTAGGTTCAGTAATACAAAAACATTCCTAGTACTCCACCGTGTAGCGAGCGAGTAGGCCACTTCCGAGTTCCAAGAACCCTCACTTTCAAAGTGAGGCCAAGTGCACAGCCTTATTTGTGAAAATGAGTTTTATTGTATGAGGAATGAAAAATCATTTCCATATCAAAGGCTGAGCACTCGTTTTGATACAGAGACCCGGGGGAACTCGGAAATGGCCTGTTGCTCGAACACGATTCCACAGCAAAGATTTCAATTTAATATTTGTAAGATGATGGCGAATAAATCAGGTATTGGTATTGACATATTTTGGCCGGCAAAGAGCAGGGCTAACACTACAATTAATTATAACGATAAATTTACTTCCGGTTTTGTTTGTTTATATATTTTCTTTGAGTGGGTGTTAACCAAACTTGGATATGCAAAGGCTGAATTTCCAATTATCACTAGACCCATCTGTAAGTAATATTGCATTTCGGCCACGTGAGTTTGGGGGAGTGTTGCGTGACGCACCAACTAGAAAAGTGTTCTTTGGTATGACGATCACACCAACAAAAAATGGGATGAAGTCCTATCACGATTAAGCCCCGTGCAAACGAACGCAAGATTGTTGGCCAACAACTCCCAACATTGTTGGATGTTACATGTTGCGTCCGTTTGCACACCCTGTTGCATGTTGTTGGGAGTTGTTGCGCAAAGTTTGAAACCAGTCAAACTTTTATCTACGTGTTGCGTGACGCACCAACTAGAAAAGTGTTCTTTGGTATGACGATCACACCAACAAAAAATGGGATAAGTCCTATCACGATTAAGCCCCGTGCAAACGGACGTAACATTGTTGGCCAACAACTCCTAACATTGTTGGATATTACATTTTGCGTCCGCTTACACACCATGTAGAATGTGGTTGGGGGTTGTTGCGCAAAGTCAGTTGAACTGAAACCAGTCAAACTATTAAGTACGTGCAAACGGACGCATCAACTTTCAACATTGTTGGCACTTCGCGCAATGAGAGTAAGTTTTATCTTCATGTCGCAAATGTATTCGTTGTGGGGGAAGGCTTTAGGGGCAAGTAGTGTAGGGCTGATTCTCTGGGCGGATACCCGCGTGCCGATCATTAAAAAAAAAACAAGTGGGATTAACCCCAGGGGTTGGCTGTTTTGAGACAGGGCAAGTTATAAGCGTGAACAAACGAAAACCTTCCAGGTGGTTTTTCGCACACTGTATTGGGTTTGAGAAAACGACAAATCTTTAATTAAAACCAGAATACTATTTCATAATATAACTCACCTTGAGAGAAGATGCGGAAAAGCGAATCCACCCATCATCGATGGAAATTACAAACACACCCTTTTCTAAGTTCACGGACAAATTATCCCCACAGAAGAGAAGCAACGAATACACAGACACCATACTGCAGTCCCGGACGTAAACCTGTTCAAAAAATCATGTACGGGATGTTAAAGTCGCAAAGATTTACTATACCTGTGAAAGGTTATGAATGAGTGGCTTTTTTACAAATCATTGGCTTCTGTTTAACGAGGTTTCCCTTGCGTTGTGCCGTCAAACGTGGCACTTTTAAACTTTGCACCTCGTTCGTTACTTAACTCGAGATATGACCAGACAGCAACATGAGTAACTGCACGCTCAAGGTGTTGCAACTCGGTGAGTAAATAGGTTTACTATTCAAAATGTTTCTCCGTCTCTGATTGGCTCAAATTCCCCGGCTAATTCTTCGTAACCAGCTAACATTGACCAAATTTGTAAGACGTTTTCCTGTTTTGGTAAAATGACGTCAATAGTTCGGGCTACCAGCAGAAAAAGTCGGACCCGAGAAGCCCTGTGGACAAGGTTGCACTAGCTCAGTCATTTTGGTTGAAAATTCACCATTTTCACATAGACCATAATACACCTTGTTTACCCCTCCCCCCCCCCCACCCACCTCCAACCAAAACAAATAGCATAAACATTGTTTCCAATTTCTCCTAGGTATTACAGTCGTTCCGAGAGAAATCGAAGGCAATGGTTATGCAAAATTTTGAGGGGTAAACAAGGTGTATTATGGTCTATGCAAAAATTGAGAGTGGCCGAAATTCACACGTATTGCGAAGAGCGAATAGCAAAAGATATGTTAATAAAAAAGTACAGCAAGAACAGCGGCGTGGTGTTGGAAAAAGGTAACTGCAACTGATTTCTATGCTCTGCAGTAATTAACCCAGTTATCAAACTGCGATTGATTCAACTGTGCACTCCACCTGAGACTGACACGGTTATTTTTTGATAACCAATCTGAGCTATTATTGGTTACAAGTTGTCCATGGCAACTATTAACCAATCATAATTTGCCGATTTACAGACAATCCCAGAAATTCTTCCGCCGAAAGATGGTTTTTGGAGTCGCAAGTTTTACGAAACGCTTTCTTGCAGAATGAACGGAAATGAAAACTAAGAGGAAAGATATGCTTACTTTGGACGTCTTGACCTTCTCGTGATAAACAAGAAATGGGCTGTCAAAACTGTTCACTTGAAAATTTACCGACTTGGGGTGAATGAACACCTGAGGTAAAAAAAGAAACATTTTAATCAGGATAACAAACCACACTCGTTAACATTAAGTTGCGTGACGGTAAACAACGTCCTTGTAAGAATCTCAAGTTCAGGAAAAAAAGGCTGTGGATGAACAAATAAATGTTATGTCACGACCCAAGTAATACCTTAATTCAGTTCCCGCTAGGGGGAATCCCATATTGCAAGAAGGTCACTAAACCAGGAAAAACCTTCGAAAACGACAGTTCATTATGCTTGACTTGATGACTCTTGATTATTGGGGTAGATTGGGCGGCCTTGTACGATGGTTTCTCGGTAAGTAATAGGCCCCTTTGCAGCAAGTCATTCACGCGGCACAAAACCGCCATGCTCCTGGGGAGCAGAAGTTGCACTAGGACAATACAAACAAAGAAAATTACCATGTGAGCTCTTTGCTTTAACTGTGCCAGTACGTCCTTTGCTCTCCAGTATGGCGATTTTGTACCACATGAATGACTTACTACAAAGGGCCCATTCAAGATAAACAGTCACCAACTGAAGGTGACCTATTCACATAAACTGTTCCTTGCCTAAAATGGAAGCGTATACGAACCTGTCCATCATTCTTTGTCCAAAACTTGAGTTCAGCTGCTTTGGAATCAACAGGAACCGCTCCTGTTACACAGACGGGGAAAATGGACAATATTCAATAGGGTTAGTAGAATGTGGAGCAGGGGTAGAGAACGTACACGAGCAGAAAATGGCATTTGACCCACATCCTACATCACTCACCAGCAACGGAAGCCTTGTACTTGATTTCCGGTTTAACGACTTGGACGACATTTGGAAATAGAGCGGCGCATACAACTCCCAACACAATCTTTTGGTTCTTCGAATTCGCGTTCATCTAGAAGAGAAAGGGAAACATTACCTTCAATTGGGTTCGCATCTACGATTATAACTTCTTCTACAAGTGTTGAAAGAAAGAACGCGAATATATTCTATTACTGACGTCTTCACTGCCGCCGTCTTCTTAGTTGCGTAAACGACTTAGTGGTCAAATGACTGAAATCGACCCTAGAAATGCCTGCTTACGTTGCATCTCCCCAATAACTACAAAAACTCTGTTCTATTTGCCACATCACAAGTTTCAGCCCTACACTACGCGAGTGTAGCACACCCCAACCCTCCCATAGACTTACTACGTCCCCCGTCGCAGCTAACACGCCGTCTCCAGTCCTTGGTGCCAGTTTTCCCATTTTTCTGGCCGTAAGATCATCTTTGATGAAACCAATATCACATAACAACTCAGCGTACTGGCATTTCAGGCTCGCGATCATCTGAAAAGAGATAAATCTTTATAAATCCACCTTTTTACTTTTACAATACAGTACACTTGCGACATTGCTGATTCTAGCGGTATGTCAAGTCTCCTACGCCCGGGAGGAGAGGGGGTGTACTCCCATAAATTTCGGATATGTCTGTACCACCCACGGTCTTAAACCCTCAGCCTATTTAAGGAAGAGAAAAACGAAAACTGATACCCTATTCAAGGGAAAAACAAAACCTAAAAATTTAATGATAACAAACGACCGCCACTAACCACCACTCATTAAATCTCTTTTCTAACACTGCTTCTCGTCTAGCTGAGAATTTACGAACTTGAATCTCAACAGATACAATTTAGATACCCTTCTAAGGATCACACCAGAAACGCGACTCTAACAATGGCAAAAATGAAACCCTATTTAAGGTTCGAGACCCTGAAAAACCCTACCCTACTGGGCGGCACATCCCTATATAGCTCATATATGGGAGTACCCCTCGGGCTCCTTCTCAGCCGTTCTTTGGGTCGTCACGCAACGCTCCTCTCCACAAACGGCTGCTGAGAATCGAACCACATTCCTTTTCCCCTTGTTGGGAGGAGTGTTGCGTGACGACCCAAAGAATGGCTGCTAAGGAGAGGCGCTGGATGCAGGACGCGTGTCATATGTGAATTTACTAAGTTTCTTTACTCTTCTTTTCCTGGGATGAGTGGACAGAGCACCCACCCGAACCTGGGGGTTGATAAGTTCAAATTTGGTCAAGAACTCAAGACTTTTGTCCTTGTCCCAAGATCGTAGCCTGAATTCAGTTACGCTTTTTGTTATCTACGTTTCGAGTTGGATTCATTTAGAGTGAAATTAATGACAGATCTTTCTAACCTTAAGTGTTTTCATGGAGAGAAAATTTATTCGACAAAAGTGATACCCGGCAGCCACTCCACGTTCCATAACCTCAACCCAGCTCTGTAAACAAACACATGAAGCAAGAATGATATTTACAATAAAATTTGGCACCGGGCCCCTCAATAGACCTATTCGGCTAACTCAATGTTGTACCCAATTCAAATCTCCCGGGGATAAGATTCTTTGTGTATTGTATTTGCATTATAATGTAGCATTCACATTTAAATGATATGGAAATTCCTGAAACAATACGTTTTATTCCCAAAGGGTTTGAATTGGGTACAACATTGAGTTAGCCGAATAGGTCTATTCGATAGGCTATGACAGATGGAAGGCAAACTAAGACTTTCTGTAGACTAAAAGTGATCTATTCGTCGACCCTAGTGTAATGCTCGTAAGAAGTCTCTTGGTGTTCAGGTCTGCACAGCCATTTTTGGGCTACTGGACCGCCAAGCTTGTCCCCAGGGTCTTCTCGTTTTCCGCCGCCATATTGGAAAACGAGAAGACCCTGGGGACGAGGTTGCTAGACCGTAAGACCGTACTGTCTTCGTTTCGTCCCCACACGTCTCTCTTTCTATGCGCAAAGGACGGCGGGACGGTGAAAGTTGGCGAGATGTCACTTCACTTGTCTTTCTGCCACATTTCCATGATATCTTACACTTGCTTCTTTCCAGTCATTCGCCTCGTCCCGCGACCCCGGAAGCGCGTGTGGATGAGGCTTATTTGTGTGGCAAGCGAACGAAAGCGAAGAGGAAAGCGGGTAATTCGCCAACTTTCGCATTACCCATGACACTTTGTTCTACCCAACCCCCCCCCTTTTCCCTTCCCCCCCCCACAAAAAAAAAATGCATAAAATGTAATACTGTAATACCGAGGAGAAATTGAAAAAAAAAATTCTTATACAAAATTTTGGGGGTAAAAAAGGTGCATTAATCGATATGAGTTGTATGAAAATGGCGAATGGGTGATCGAGTGTAGCCTGCTACCCGGGGTGTACTGTCTCGCAAAATGTTTCCACCACAACAAACACTTTCTAAGAGGATGACACAACCAGAAGCTCGAGAGTAGGGGCCAGTCTCCTGACCATCTCTTCGTATTTGTACCTTGTAGCTATTCAACAAGGTCAGATGATCACTGTTGCCGACAGCCATTTCTTGTCTCTTCTTATCCGCTTCCTCTCTCTTGTCAAACGGGGCAGACTATAATTTGAAACACCACGCATATTAGAATTATAGACAAACACGCACAATTCAGTTACCTCTCAACAACAACAACAACAATCTTTATTTGTACTCACTCTTGCTCAAAAATATATTATTAATAACCATGGGGGCTAGCGGAGCCTGGAAGCCAGTTGACATCAGCATCAATTAAAATTATTATTCATTCAAAATATTTCTCCGATTCTGATTGGCTAAAAGCACACGTTTAATTCACCATAACCAGTTAGTGATGACCAAATTTGGAACAATTTTGTGTTTAGCGAGGAAATGACGTCAAAAATGCAGCGTTCGTGCAGGTTAATGCACCGTTAAGTTGTTTAGTTGTTTTAGTTGTGATCTTGAAAAATGGCTGACATTTCTCTCGTTTCAAGAGTAAGAACTAGGCGAAAAAATAGCTAAAAACATGGCAAGAACAGCAAGAAGACAACTCGAAGGGCGACATCTGCTATTTGGAGAATATTTGCGGAGCTGAACAACCCTAAACGTGCACTATCGAAGATAAACTTAACATCGATGGATCGATGGAGGTAAGCATGCCTGGCCATGTTTTTAAACTAGGAATTATTTTGAATGAATAATAAAACAATTATTCAATTCGGCTTTCGTATCATATGAAGAATTATGGAGATCGAGGAGGGTGCTATCCGCCTCGGCCGATAACACCCTACTCGATCTCCATAATTCTTCATAGGATACTCAGCCTCATTCATTAATTGTTAATTAAATTACAGGTCAGCGAGAAAACTAAAGCACAATTAATGCACACATAAGAAGAACAAAAAGAAAAAGAAAAAGAGAGAGAGAGAAGAGGAAAAACGTAGATGAATTTGGACAACATGTAACACGAAAAAAGAAGAAAAAAGAGGAAAACGCAGCTTTGATAAGCTAAATTCACTGTAAATTTAACGAAGCTCAAAATTACCGCCATCTTTCTCGCTGACCGCTGACCTCGTACCGCAAGATACATATTATTTGTTTATGTTGTAATTTCTACAGCTATCACTAAAGCTTTTACAATTTGAAGCACACATATTAGAATTATACACAAACATGCGCAATTCAGTCACCTCGCAAGATAATATCATTTTATGTTATAATTTATAACGCTATAACCAGAGCTATCACACTTGTAGTTTTGAAAATTGCCACAGAGTTACATGCTCTCTTTCGTCATATTTGTTACCAGCAGCTTATTTATGTCAATATCATGGCCATGGGTGACAAATTACTCCTCAGTTTTAGCCCGAAAATGCAGAGTAAATTTATAATGACATGGGAAATTACAAAATGTCTATAGCAACGTTTCCTATATAGCAGTGCCAAGATGGCGTCCAGAGGTTTCAGGATGTTACTGTATTTAAAGACGCTACAGAAAACCTCAAAACACGTTAAAGCCTAACTATGGAAGGAACGAACGTAACTGAAATAATATTTTTTCTAATTTCACTTGGCACCAATTAAGACGTCAGCCAGCACTGTATCATTGTACTTACGAAAGGAGATCGGTAACTGAGAATCGCTCCAATGGTTAAAACAGGATCCAGACATCTAAATATGGCACCAAGCAAAATGAGCTTACCAATCCTGCAGAAAAAGAAACGGTTAATGTACACCAATTCTGATTATTGTATAAGACAGCCTACGTGTAGCCGTACCCCTCCCCCCCCCCCACAAACACACACCCTGTTCCGTTTTCTCAGCAGGAAGAGGGTACGGGCTACAGGTGCGCGACTTTAATGGTGTCAACTTTAACCTAAGAACATTGCGATGTTGTCCAGAATGAACAATGATGGCCAGAATAGCACAGTGAAATTGGTGAGAGGGACCTTACCTCACATCAACAGGAAGAGCTGCCAAGTGGTAACCCAGCGAGGTCAGATTCTGAAAAAGGTTAAAGAGAGTTAAAACGGTTCTAGTTTCAAGAATAGGTACCTTTTTTTAAATAAAATACCTTCACAATAGTTGTCCTCCCCCTTTGCCTATTAACAGATATGAAAGTCTCAAAGGAACTCAATTCAGTTCATCAAATGTAAGGCATTTTTGTCTTTATTTTTATTGACAATTGTTCATAATTAGTTGTTCATAGTAACTAGTAATGGTTGACACTTCATCTGCCGCCGCTCTGTGTTATGTCAGGTTAGGGGGGGGGGAGGGGGTGGGTGGTCATCCAGACCCAGAGACAAATGAGGGCCCGGTCTCAAAAGAAAATTTTTTTGGCCCCTCGGGCCTCACTTTAGTCTAAAACAAACGGGGGGGGGGGGGCCCTTTTTGGTCCGCCCCCGACAAACAATGTTTGTGTTTTTTGTTTGTTTTTGATTTTTACGATGTATTAATAAAAATTTAGATTTGACTTGTTAGTATATAGTTTCTTTTTCTGGTCTTTTTTAAAAATGTCTTTTTTTTTTTGTTTTTTTGTGTTGTAGGTGTTGCTGTTTGTTCGGTCGGGCGCGTGAGGGTGCTGGTGCCGGGTCGGGGGGGGGGTGGGGGGGGGTGGGGGGGGGGGGGGGGGGGGGGGGGCGGGTGGTAAACCAGGCCCAGAAGCAAATGTGGGCCGGGTCTCAAAAGAAATTTTTTTTGGCCCCCCGGGCCTCACTTTAGTCTAAAACAACCGGGGGGGGGGGCCCTTTTGGATCCGCCACCGTACAGCATTCTTGGTTGTTGTGTAGCTCTTTGATATCTACCGATTAATAATGAAGATTTTAAGTTTCCATGCACTGTTTAAGTTCGCTTTACACAGCTTTGATCAAAACATTCTCAGTTTCGAGAATATTTTTATTCTTAACCATAAGAAAAGATTTGATTAGAAGTTATAATTTTTCGCTATTTCTCATTACCTTTTACATACAGGTCATGTACGCCGGAAAGTAAGCCTTAGAAATTAAAGGGTTTGATCAATTTACGCTCTCACGTTCTAGTCATTTCAGTTTTAACTATTACTGCGCTTTTCACAAACATGCGAATTCTGAAGTTCAAAAGCCAACTGACGATTGCGTTTTCCGCTGCCGTCAATCATCTTAACGGACTTCTTAGGAAACGAAACTTTACTTTAACGGGTTCAAAAGGTCATGAATTGTGATTTCTGATTGGTGGATTTCGATACGTTTCGTGAGTTTCTGTGTTTCAAGGTTCGTTGCTTGTAATCGTAATTATGATTGACGGCAGCGAAAAACGCAATTGTGAAGGCGGCTTTTGAAATTTAGAGTTCGCATGTTTGTGAAAAGCGCAGTAAGACTGGACCAGACTGCACTAGACATCTAGACATCATGAAAAAGTTGGATCAAACTGTGGAGCTACGGAAGCGGAAGAGGGGAAAAATACGCAAATGTTGTAAAAGTATATCACCGCTTGTAGTGTGGGGATTCACTCGCTGATACACTTGACTTGACAAAACACCGCATCTACACTATGTTACCTCATCAATATCAAGAGCTCCAATGTTGTGCAGTCTTCTGATGGCATCGTGGATGGCTTCTTCAGATGGCGGCTGTAGCAGTTTACCAAGTACATCCTGTAGTAAACACACAGTTACATTACTTACGCTCGGTTACACGCGTCACAACGTCAATAAGTTCGCTTCACATTTTTCAACGCAAATTAGCACTATTATCACCCAAGAATTGCTCTCGTCTGGTCTTGTAGGTTTGTGGATGGAGGAATAGTAGATCTAGTCCAGGTCTTTTTTTTCGTCGACGCGTAGTTTTCTGATTTTTTTAAATGGGGCTAACATGGGGAATTTTTAGAATTTAATGAAAGACCTTCAACTAGAGAGTTACTGAATGCTTTGTTCTACCATTCGACTCATTTATATGTATGACGTTTAATGTTAACGTTTGGCTCTTCGTACGAGTAGACACAATTAGAACAATATTCAAAAGATACAATCTCGATTGTAACAACTGAGAAAAATTACTTAGAAGTCTCCTAATTACAAACCTTAATATCTCGACCAAAGAACAGCCCCAGGACTTTGATACGAAGACACAACTTCTCCAAGGGAACTCGCTGGATTTCTAAAAGACAACGAACGCTAAAATGAAGATCCTTTTTAAACGACTATCAAAAAGATATAGAAAATAACTTTCTTTCTTAATGGCCCGTCAGCAAAGTATCCCACAAAATGTACTATAACCAATCACCCTAGCCCGTCTCCGTTTTCCGCTTCTTACCCCTAGCTCCACTTTCGATGTGCGGAGCAAGTAGCGTGTACGACTAGCGTGCAGAACCTGCAGTCTCGACTCGGGTTACGTGTTTTTCCGCGCTTTATACAGTTGCACATTTTTCCGCGCATGACACCGGATGCACTGGTTGTCGCGCATTGTGCTGGTTGTACCTTTCTACGCGCTCGAAACTGGTTACGTACTGCCTCGTTCTCAGACGTCTCTCTTAGTACGCGCAAAGGACGGAGGAATGGTACAAGTTGGCGAGACGTTCCCTTCCCCCCCCCCTTTTTTGCCCTTCCTATTATTCTCCCCTCGCGTGAGTCTTAAAGGGTCGGTTAAGGAGGCGGGTCTAGGCGGGTGACATACATTCATGTGCGGTTTTGATTAGTTTGGTCTCCTGGTTTTACGAGGATTGTTAGGAACTTCCGAAAAGTCAGCTTCGCCAAAGAGAAATCAAACACCTATTAGTCGAAGTTATCTTGAGAACACAACTAATGAAAGAGAAACTATTGCACAACATACCTGGAATCTGGTGACCTGCCATTCTGTATTCAAATCGATAACTAGTGCACAGGTGAAAACAAACCCCGGACGTTACACGCCCAGCCCTCCCTCGGCGCTGACGGGCGTTGGCTTGTGATACCCAGACCTCCTCCAGACTCTCCATACCCTTGCTAGAATCATACCTGAATAGAAGCACGCGTGCCTGTCAGTATGAAGATTTACCTGGTGTAAACGCACCAACGAGTTGATTAGGGAAGCACTTGCCGATAACTTATTAAATGACGAAGAAAGTTCTTCAAACTCTTGAACATGAAAATAAGCTGTTTTGTCGGAGGGAACAGTGGGGCTGAAAATTGAGGTCATTTGGCACCCACGAAGAGACTCAAAACCGACATGAGTTTCAAATCATACCTACCGAAAAATTCCGAAAATAAGCCTCGCGGCTAATATCTTTCAAAGGCCCTTTTTGAGGGGCTTATCTACGGAGGAAAATTTGCGTTTCAAAATCGAATGGGCTAGCCTTACAGTAGGAAGTAAGTTTACCGTTTTTGCTTTGTTTTACTTTGTATTTGAGGGCAATTTTCCAAGTACAAGACCTCGGGGGCCTTATATTTGGAGGAGCGATTTAACGGAGGGTTTTTTGCGTTACCGGTTTGGGGGGCTTATACATGGAGAGGCTTTTTTTTCTGGAACTTTGAAACAGTACCTTGCCTAACATAGGTTCTAAGGTTAACCTGACCCCGTAAAAACAATGAAACAACTGAACAATTTCCGTTCTTCACACTACTACCTCATGCTGTAATTTTATTCTAAGTCTAAGCTTAACTCCATCTCCTACCTATTTTCTTTCATTCGTCCACAATCGATGACAAACACAACATCATCTATAGTCACTGAGGTCTCAGCAATATTCGTAGACAGGACTATTTTCCTCATGCCTTCTTTTGGCTTCCTGGAAAGCAATAATATTAAGGCTTAATAATTTCTACACTATACTAAGAGAGAATCCTCTCTTAACTATACTCAGCCTGCGAGCAAACTCTCCAGGGTCCAGGGCAGCTTGGCTTGTAAGCTACACTATACTGGATGGCTCAGCTCAGCACTTTATATCTTGCCTCTATTTTACTTACGTGATTAAAATTTACGTGCGTTAACGTGCGTAGCGAAAAACGCATCAGTGGAAATCAACCTTAAGGGAGCTAAGATGCGCCGCAACCATCTTAAAAGTGATTATGATTATGATTAACTTTATGATTAACTTTATTTGATTTACCACAAACTACAAATAACGATAAAACAAGACAGTTACACAAAAGCAAATGAAAGTGGCGAGGAAGCCCAATAAGAAACCATGAGGCTTATAGACATTGGGCTCCCTCAGAGTAAAAATAAAGTTAACAGTAACGGTAAGGCCAGGATCGAAAGTAAAATACAATGAAGGTAAGTATAAATTAACTAATCACATACACTGAGTTGACAAAATATAAGGTATGGTACAAGTAACAATAAGTATAAAAATAATATCAGAAATGTGAAGAAAAATATATTTATTTACTACAAGATTTATAAGTAATAATACATATATAATTTTTTTTTCAATTTCGTTTTGAATAAGTGGAGAGAATTAGATTCTTAAAAATCATTTTCTATAGAGTTATAATAAGTAGGTCCTTGGAAACTGACAGAAAATTTACGAAGGTTTGTTCTACAAGAAGGAAGGCGAAAATCGTTCGCGTGTCTAGTGGCATAGCTATGGACTTGTTTGTTTAAAGAAAAATAATTGTTGAACTTTGAAGGGGAAAAGAGAATGGTTAAGAGAAAACATAAATTTACCCAATTCTAGCTGTCTAATATCGGAAAGTTTTAGTAGCTCTAATTCTTTGAAAATAGGGTCTGAATGAGAATCGAAAGTTGATTTAGAAATAATTCTGATAACTCGCTTTTGCAAAGAGACAAGACGGCGAAGATTGGTTTTGTACGTAGATCCCCAGACAATAATACAATAATGAAGGTAAGGATAAACTAAACAATAATAAAGAGTTTTTAGACAGGGTTTAGGTAGAAAAAATCTTGCTCTATTAATGACACCTATTGATTTCGAGATTTTACGAGCTACTTGAGAAATGTGCGGTTTCCAAGACATATGTTCATCAAGGACTACACCAAGGAAGACCGTTTCCTTAACCTGTTCGATTCTATGTTCATTTATGCATATTTGCATTGGAAAATGATACCTTTTCTGTCTAGGCTTAAAGTGGATCGTGACATATCGGATAGGTTTCTAGGCCACTCTTTGGCTCACTGTAATCAGGTTTTCAAACTATACGGGGTGGCTTTTCATGCCAACATGAAAAGTTATCNAAAAATTCCTAAAAAGATTTAGGCGCAAGAAACCTAGAGATAGAAAAAACATAGGCAGGGAGAGGCGCTCAGGTATTAGGGAAGGGGGGAAAACAAGCCAGGGGGAAATGGGGTGCCGGGAACTGGAGGGGGGGGGGGGGGGTCTGTGTGTTTTTCGTATCATTTTTCACGATCTTTGCGGCACATTTCGATTTTGGAGCCTGGAACAGGCTAGCATAAACATTAATTGTCGCAGAAGCAAAAAAGCCCAAACTTAGTCGCGAAAAAACTGTGAACATCAAGGTTTCGAACGCAACATGAAATTGTTTTCTAGACGCAAGAAAATATGACTGCATAAAGTAAAAAAAGCATTAGTTAATCCTTTCCGAACACACGTTTGGCTTTCAAAATTAACGTTTCATTGGGAGAAATTTCGTTTCCACAAGAATACCTTTCCAGCTCTATAAATGCACTTTATAGTTGGAATGCTTTTCGGTTGTTTCGCCACAAAGTCACTTCGCTACAAGACGTTTCGTAGCGCAGTCTTTACGCATCAATTTGAAAAAATTGAAAAAATTTTGGCATTCAACTTTAATGTTAGATTTGGGGGCTCTCAAAAGAGCCGTTCGTTTTTTACCTTTAGTGCGCGTCCTCGAACTTCTCAAATCCGAGACTACAATGAAACGAAAAATGTTTTGCAGCAACAATCGACTTCTTGACGAAGCGAAACGACTTGTAACGAAACGACTTTGCAGCGAAACGACCGCACACCGTTAAAACTACCTGTCAGAATTTTTTGGACTGAATGTCTTGTGGTTTTGAAGTTGTTCCAGCAAAGTCATAATCTCTCCCATGCCAGGAAGAAACACCAGAATTGCGCCAGTCTTGGGGTACTGCGAATGTCAATGTGCTTGCATCAAATCATAACCAAAACTTTTTTTCGTTCTTACATAAGGAAGCACTATGAAGCGATTTAAAGGGTAAGGATAGAATGGGAACTAGACAAATTTAGAAAAATTACAAATGAGAATGGGTTAACCAAAGGTTTATAATACAACAAAAATCAAAATTTGTTCTAAACAACAACGAGAGAAAAAGAAGACAAAAAAAGATAATCGACATCAACTGTCAGTCTGGTGCAAGAGATCACTTTGCCCTCTGAGGAAAAGGCCATGTAGCTGTCGAAAATTTAGGAATAACTTTTCTGTTTCGTTTTTTCCTCTCTGTCGATATGAGGAATTTTGGATTTTGTATTGCCTTGAAACACAGCGAATGACAGTTTTCGCAGAATTAATTTAAATCAAATGGTGCGAATTGAATGTTGCTTGCGATTCACGTGTGTCAATTGATGCCACATGCTCAGTTACAGTATCAGTTGCAAAACAGACAAGGAGAGAATGAGAATCTCTCTGGGACAGGGGCACGTCGCTGATATCTATTCCAGAAATTATTAATTTTATGTTCTAAAAAGGCAGGGCCTAAAAAGTATTTGTTTTCCCGGGAGGAAGAGTAAAATAGTGAACTGTAGTTAAGTGAGAACGCAGTTCAACATACCTCATGTTCACCAACTACAATGTACTCCAAGACTGCAACAATCAAATCATAGTTGATTTTCTCATGATCCATAACACCAAGCGCAGTGATGGTGCTTTTGCTGTAATCTGTTGATAACAACACTTAAAGTAAGATCTGAAAATTTGATCCTCGTACCAGTAGAGACCAAAAAGAGTACATAAACATACAGTGTTTACAAGTATGAAGTTTTATCCGTATATTAAGATCTCTCATTACAGATAACCCAACCAGCCAAGAAAAGGTTGGCCACACCACCTGGGTCTACGTTCTACTCTTTTCGAACAGTGGTGTGGGTTCTTTTACGTCCCATAAGACCCAGATAAGTGAAAGTGCTGTGAGACAGGCTCTATGGTTTTTCGTCCATATCCGAGAAGACTAGAAAGTCTAACCGCTTGCAGATGTCATTACAAAGGTGGCACTTTCTTCTCCGTTAATGAAAGACCCTGAGTGTTGCTTCGGTAGGTATTGACTTTGGTAAAATTTTCTATAAACTTCGACCTACATTGTCATTTTCTAGCCTGAGAAAACAGCCGACATTTGGAAGCGCTACCACCGGTTTCCCCACCAAATGGCGTCTAAGAAACCAGCACAGAATCCCATACTGATGACGCGTCACTACACAGATCTAAGTATTGCTTCTGATTGGTGGAATAGAATTTCCCACGCGGCACGACCAATCAGAAGCACTTCCCAGATCTGGGTAGTGCCGCGTCATCAGTATGGAATTTCTGCGCTCGTTTCTCAGACGTCATTTGGCGGGGAAACCAGTGGCGGCGTCGCCAAATGTCGGCTGTTTTCTCAGGCTAATCATCTGCATCTAAGAAGGCAATTTGAGTGTTTCAGAAGAATATTATGAGGCTTGTAAAAGAACACAATTTATGAGTGAAAAATGACAAACTTCAGCACATGATGGCAGTGAAATAAGATGCACGCCCTTACTGGCATATCTCCAGGCCACCTGTTCTTCTGACAATTGTTGATCATCCATCTTCTCATCAGGAGGTCTAAAGTCAATGCATGAGACAGACTCCTGTATTTGTTGAATGTCCTTTGTTAACTGTCCTTTTTTGCCAGCAGCGTCTGGAGTGATCGAAGATTTCATGGGTTTGGCATAAGGTGAATTTGGGTCAACTTGAAACCTAAATAAAAAAGTAAGAAATATCGCATTCAATGATAAAAGAAAATCATTTTCATAACCAAACTGAAAAAAATTAACACAAATGTTTGACACATACTTTGTCATTTCCAATGAATCTTCAAGGAATAGTTCCACAACTGGAAATGTGCGACCTTTTATAATAATTATAAAAACAACATTAAATTAATACAAAAATGTCATTAAATCGCCAGCTAAAATGAACACCTCTCGAAAAAGGACACTTCCTGAAGATGTAAGATCATCAATCTTTATAGAAAAGATATTTCTCTAAGATGCACATCTGGGCCGCGTTGTTCAAAGCTGGGTTAAGATAACCCAGGGTTAGCGTGAAATTTGAATTCAGATATGAAGGCTTAAAAAGTAAATTCAGTTTAATTCTTTTTGTCAACAAGTTGATGGTTGGATGCTCATAACAAACCGAGAAAATTATCCGAGAAAATGCTTTTGAGCAAAAGAAAAAGAAACCTGGGTTAAATTTAACCCTGGGTTAAGCGCTAATCAGCCTTTGAACAACTGGGCCCTGACTAATTAAGATGCACAGGTTATCTCTCTTAGATGGACCCCCCTGAGAGATAGACATCTCTAAAATTAATGTAACCCCTTTTTTAAGATAAATAAATATGCTAAGATGGATGTCTTTGTAAAATTGACTCATCTCTAAGATAGACACACTATTAAAAAAGATGGGCATTTCTCTAATATGGACAATTACCTAAGTTGGACACCTCTACCACAGACATCTTTTTGGGTACCTCTCTATTAACACAAATGTTTGACACATACTTTGTCATTTCCAATGAATCTTCAAGGAATAGTTCCACAACTGGAAATGTGCGACCTTTTATAATAATTATAAAAACAACATTAACTTAATACAAAAATGTCATTAAATCACCAGCCAAAATGAACACCTCTCGAAAAAGGACACTTCCTGAAGATGTAAGATCATCAATCTTTATAGAAAAGATATTTCTCTGAGATGCACATCTGGGCCGGGTTGTTCAAAGCTGGGTTAAGATAACCCAGGGTTAGCGCGAAATTTGAATTCAGATATGAAGGCTTAAAAAGTAAATTCAGTTTAATTCTTTTTGTCAACAAGTTGATGGTTGGATGCTCATAAAAATAACCGAGAAAATTATCCGAGAAAATGCTTTTGAACAAAAGAAAAAGAAACCTGGGTTAAATTTAACCCTGGGTTAAGCGCTAATCAGCCTTCGAACAACTGGGCCCTGACTAATTAAGATGCACAGGTTATCTCTCTTAGATGGACCCCCCTGAAAGATAGACATCTCTAAATTAATGTAACCCCTTTTTTAAGATAAATAAATGTGCTAAGATGGAGGTCTTTGTAAAATTGACTCATCTCTAAGATAGACACACTATTAAAAAAGATGGGCATTTCTCTAATATGGACAATTACCTAAGTTGGACACCTCTACCACAGACATCTTTTTGGGTACCTCTCTATATGGACTTCACCTAATGCCGACCTCTCTCTGAGATGGAAATGTCTCTCAATAGGCATCTCTCTAAGATGTACTTTCCCTCTAAGTTGGACACCCCCATAAGATAACCACTTCTTTAAGGATGGGCACCCTTCTAAGATTAGTAAACACCCTCTCTCAGATGTACACCTCCCTCTAAGTTGGACACCTTCAGAAGATAAACATCTCTTAATGGTGGACATCTCTTTAACATATTCACTCCCAGTGTTAGCCCCCTTTTTAAGATGAGAAATGAAACTTCCTGGAATAAACAATTTTCTCAGATAAACCTTCCAATGAAAAAGCTATTTGTGTGAGCTATCAGTGTTAAGGCATTCTCCTGTTATGGTGTAAGGATCTATCACAACTGTTTACAATAAGGTATAGTTCTATCACAACTGTTAACTGTAAGGTATAGTTCAGAGGCCACAACTGTTTTATACCTGGTATATGAATAACAGGAGCATCATAAAAATATTCTGAAAAAAGCTGAGCATTTAATGTTGCACTCATCAATACAACTCGCATATCTGGTCTGACCAACAACGAGTCTTTTAACACCATCATCAGAAAATCACTGCAAATTAATGAAAAGTGGAATAGTTAGCAACAAGAGTACTACAATGAAATTCATACCAGTTGACTTACTCTTAGTGAGAACTTTTGTGAAATTTCAAAGAAAGTAGCAAATGAAGGATATACACTGACAGCTCAAACAATAAAATAATCATGGTATACCTTTCCTCCGTTCTCTCATGAACTTCATCGACAATCACATGACTTACATATGGTAAGCTTGATTCTCCTTGTAAGCGACGCAGTAATATACCTGTTGTACAGTATAATAAGCTTGTTCTTGATGACTGTAAAATACAACAAGATAATCATCATTATCCTCTTTATCTAAATTGATGAGTATGATGATAACAATGATGATGATGATGATGATAAAATAATGAAACTATAGAATGTAAAATTATTTTCTTTAATCTTGGGTTTCGTGAGGTTTTTAAGGTAGGCCTCTCGCTACATAAACATCATGCTAAATAGCTGAAAAAAGAAAGTAAGTATAAATATATTGATTGAAGGGAGAGCAGCTGTTTACCAAAGCTTATATAAATTACCAATATTTTGTTCCTTTGGCTCATTCTACAATCCTCTCTAACAAATGTATGGAAGGAATGCAAAGAATGTCTGCATGTTACAGATGTAGGCTAATCATACCAGTGCTAAAAAAACATTTCACATCACAAAATGCCTTGATTAATGAATGGCAAAAGATGCATAATATGATCTACCCATTTTTTTCTTGAAAAAAAGTAACATATTAGATAAAACTCTCTATTTTCAATCAGCAGTTTAACTCCCTCCCTAATAATAACTGTACTCTCTCTGCTTAAATTGACAACTTTGAAAATTCCAACTTTCTTTTTTTAAATAATACACTTTTTTAACCTTCATCTTCCTTTTTGTTACCTGTTTATTTTCAAGTCTGACTTGATAACCAACAGTCTCTCCAATCTTGTCAATTCTCTCAGCTGACACCCTTTCTGCAACAGATATAGCAGAGATTCGGCGAGGCTGAGTGCAGATGATGAAGCATTCTCCTCCTTTTCCCTCTTTTAGATAACTATCAAGAATAAACTGTGGAATCTGTGTTGTCTTACCACATCTGAAAAAAAAAAGAGGAACAAGGTGTAGATCTCTTAAGATCTAAGGCCTGGATATCTCCTTTGCAGTAGATACAACCCCTCCCTCACCCCTTTTCCAACCCACGCTACCCCTGATACCCACAAATAAACCCAGTCCCCATATCAAAACGTGGTTATTCGGCTCTTGCATGGGTGTAGCTTAAGAAATTATACATATACGAGTAGTTATACTGGAAGTAAAGACTACAGTGTATCAACAGTTGCTTTCATGACTGTGATGATGAAACACAAGCAAAAATGCTGATGACTATATGCTATCACTTCTATAGCACAAATTGCTGTTGAAGAAGCCAGACCCACATGAAAATTCTTAAGAATAAGTGCACCTGTTAACTTCTGTCAATTGTTATTAACAGGGAAGATCAAGAGCCACACTTAATGGTCACATGACCAAAATATTTTGTAACCCTTGGATTCTAAACATAGGGGCTGTATTTCCTGGGGGAAAACCAAACTGGGTTGTTGTATCTGAATGAATAATTTCAGTTTTTCTATCATTGGGAAATCCAACAATGGATTTTGAATTTAAAGATTCTATACTCGTAAAGGATTCATCAGATCAAATCTAAAACAAGATTTTTAGGATTCAGGCCCCCAGCATTTCTTTAGGCACAGATCCAAAACATTACATATGGCAAGTGGATTTCCTTTTAAACTAATGAGGCCCACCATATCTTGCTGGCACTCAAGTCAGTAGTTTTGGAACACTAAGAAATATTAAATCCAGGTCACAGCTGATGTCACCTTGTTGTTACCCTTACCCTGTCATTCCACTGATGACAACAACCTGATATTGCTGAAGTGTTTCAATGATGTTCTGCTGTGATTTCCAAGCAGGAAGCTTTTTCCTCTCTTCAAGCATAGACTTGTAGGCAGGAACAGACTGTAACAGTAGCACATGGACAAAATGTTGGCTGTTGTACCAAAAGCTGGTGTTAAGCCTACCATAAACAGTTGTTTACATGACAGCCCTTATAAGCCCTGGGCTTACACATCTTCATAGGAGGTTTTAGGACAGCATATAAATGGAGGAGGGGGGGGGGGGGGGTTATATTAAATTGAAATAGAAGAAGTGCTTTGAAAGAAGCCATAGCCTTGCTGATCAAAATACATTTTGCACTTATGGGTTTTTAATTAAGCTTCAAAACATCATAATAAATCGAATTCATTTCAATATATTTAGAGGACAGGATTAATCGCATGTATTTTTCTGTTTACAAGTAGATGGGTCCATAACTGGGGGCCTTACAAGTGGGGGACCCCATAAGTCGTAGTTTATGATATTCCAGGTGCTCAGAAACAAAGAGAACATGGCAGGGAAATTGAGTTGTGTGCTTCTCAATTTCGAAACATCTGAAAAAGGCTACATTATCATCCACAAAATGCACCAAATATCTGTACTTGAGGAGACAGTGCAGCTGGCTCAAAGTTCAAGTCCCACCCTCACCATTAGCTGGTTTTGTTCTCAGTAGTCCTCAGTTCAAATCCTGGCCACACTTCTAAATACATTTAGCCAACTGGTTTGCCTCCTTACAGCTGGTATTCTTGACCCGTTTATGTGCCATTCAAATCATTTGTTTTACATATCCATGAAAGCCCCATAAGGGGAGAATATGTATTAATAATAATAATGACCAAAGGTTAATAGGGAGGGTGGGCGACAATGATCGGAGGTCCAAACGCTTTTGCTCCAATGCTGTGCTTTGCATAAAAGTTGAAAAAACACGTGTGATCAGAGTACAAAGGGTAGAAGGTCAAAACGTGTGCATGATCAAATATTATTGTATTTTGTGTATTCCATTCATTCTTAGTGGAAGTCCAAACGAATGCTGGCTACATACATGCGATGCATGCATAATAATAACCTGAAGATTAGGATCGTGGGCTCCTCTTGTCGCCTGCAATATTTTTGTTATTATTATTATTACAGTCAACTCCCTTTATTACAGACACTGTAGGGGCCTCAAATTAGTGTCCTCAATAGCGCGAGTCCGTAATAGTGGGAGTTTATTTAAGTCAAACATCTGTTATTTGTTTTTGCAGGGATGCTGTCCATATTGTTGGGGTGTCCATTACATGTATGTGTGCAAGGCAAGAGTTGACTGTATTATGATTATGATTATTGATATTTAACCAGGAAGAAAATTAATGGATCAACATTTTGAAGGCTTCATACAGTATTAGAAACAAAAATATGTAATATTACCTGTAATCGCACAAATTGCTGTTTGAGTTTCTTGTTTTTCTCCTGTACTGTGAGTTCATCTGGAGACTGTTGAGGTTCATTCGTCTGCACCTTGCCACTGGTTACACCTTTTTTATCATCATTATTACTAAAAGCCCCAATGCTTTGCAAAGTATCTTTGTTCTTAGGTGGTAGACTAAACTCTGAAGGGGGCAACTTAAAACATTCCATGATTTCCTCTTCATTGTCTAATAGATTGGTAAGGCAAAAAATTGCAGGACTCTCTGCACTACATAATAGCTTAGCCTCTTGGCTGAGCTTTATTGTCATATTAAGACAACCTGCTGATGGAATTAACTCGTGAGTAGAGTAGAAAGCCACCATTGGAGGTTCAAAAGGATATAGGGAATCCTTAGGAAATCTCACTTCAAGATTGAATTGGAAGGACAGATCAGTGACCATATTATCTGCACTTTTAACTTCTGGGATGTCATCTCTTGTGTCAGTTGAATTGATTTTCTTATCAGGAACAATATGGCTTAGTCTACACTTGTCTCCAAATCTACAGAACCCTTTCAAAAAGAACCTACAAACATTTTCAGGGATCTCTGTGCTTTCGCCTGTTTTGCTTTTGTAGTATTTATTTTGAGCCTCCTTTTTTGGTTTGAATGCCTCTTGTAAAAAGGGCAGAGACATTTTAATATTCCATACACAATCTGGAATAACTTCAGAAAAGCTTTCTTCATAAATTGACGCAAGAGCCATCGCTTCTTCTTGTCTTTGCAAAACTGCTTCTTGAAATTTTTCCTCAGTGTAATCTGGATTATCCTTCCCAAGCTGATTTAATTCACAGCAACTACAAAGCAGTAACTGCAAAGCTGCTCCTAAATCACCATCATTCTCTCGAAGGGCGTCTATGCACCTCTTTTTTTCAAAGCCACACTGAAGCAATTTCTTCACCGCATAAGAGCTGTAAATATCATCATCAGATTCAGCATCAGTTTCGTTTTGATCGGCAAATTTAACATCTTCGATCATGAGTTTTTTCTCGCCGACCTTCTGCCAATAAGCCTCATTTCGTCTGATCTCCCTCGCATCTAAAGTCAGTTTTTCGTTGAACTTGTGACTGCTCCTGGTGATTTGTAGATCCTGGAGAACTTCTTCTATCATCTGTTGATTGTCCGCGCTCATATCAAGTCTCTGAATGAGAGCTTTGTTACGGAATTTCGATTTAGCTTTGGCTGGCATTCTGTTTTTTCCTTCATGGGAGGGCTCATTAATTTCAGCCAAACTATCGACAAAGTGATCATCGTCTTCCTTTTCGTCTAGTTCATCTTGCTCTTTTTCTATAGATACAGAAAGACCTGAAAGACCAGCGCGATTAAATGTGCGAGGTTTGTTGAATCGACCTCCACCGCGGTTCGGCCTTCGAGAACCGCCACGTGCACGATTCATTCTAGGGTCAAATAATTACCCCAATAACTATCCTCGCTGTCTTTCGTTGGACCTCGTTGGCATAGGCTTCGGTGGTCAATTGCCACAACTGTGGCTTCGTCCAAGGAAGTTATAAATTAACCAAATTATGAGAAAAGATTTGAGAAATTGACCAGGCGTTCAGTACCTTCCTCTCTTCCGAGGCTTGGAACCTCAGGTCTACAACAGCGCGCGCATCGCGGCAAGCGACTTAAAACGCCACAAATGCAAGGCATGAACTACATGTTAGCACACCATATAGTCGTGCAACATAAATTAAACGAACACTGTGCACAACGTTGTAAATAACCGATTCATTTTTAGGGCGACCTTGAAAGAGAGAATGTATCGGAACTGCTAAAGATGCTAAAATTGGGCCTGATCTCATCAGGGTAAAGGGCACAGTAAGATTTTAAGGTGAGTTAACTTTATCAGTCCGGAATATCCCTAAATTTAAGGACAGAGCCAACTGGTCACGCGACACTTCTCAACGAATGAGAAGGCGCGCTTGTGTTTATCAACAAACAAATCAAAACATCGCCCCAGTGATCAAAAATTTTCAAAACAGCGGACGGAGTCGGACAGAATTAAAGATGAGCTTACAGGACTCCTCTAGGTTTCACATTTAATATTTCAAAGCCGGAAAACATTTCATTTAAGAGAATAAGAACATTAATCATTCCAAGGAATCATTGGGGCGGGCATTGGGGTGTTCGAACTGATTGCGGACCGATCGCAGAGGTCGTGGCTTCACTGGCATGGCTTGCAAGACTTTGATAGAAGCAAACTGGTCCCGTGTAAATATAGCCTCAGAGAGTGTGTGAAAATTTGTTGAGATCGTACAAAACAGGATTGGTACTACCTATTAACTTCTACAGGACAAGAATCAAAGAACCAGTCATCAGAACAAGAATAAAAAGTAGTTCAAATTTATTAATTTTTCTTGTTTGTTTTTTTGTGTTGTTTCGTGTTGACTTCACGCATCTGGTGCTTTCTTTGCTTGCTGTAGTACCTGCAATGTTTTAATTTTATGCCAGATAATCAATGCATGTTCAATGAGTAGCGAAATACATTATTTACACTTGAAATTTGCCTTCTTTCTTTGATTGTTTTTTAACGGTGGACGAACATTTGGAGAATCCAACAACATTAATAGTCAGGTCTCTTAGTGCAAAATATAGGCCGGATCGTTACAGACGTGACAAAAGTGTCAAATTTGGCACAGAGCTTCCTTAGCACCTGCCGACTAATACTGGAGGGGGTGCCCGTTACAAATGGTCCTAATTACAGATAAAAGGGGGGGTTAACTTTCACCTATAATAGCAGATTGGGTTCCCTGTGATGAGTACTCTTCTTGTTTGATTTGGCTAAAAAGCATTTGTTTCAGATTTCTAAGTTCTTAATTTGGTTAATGTTTAGTTGTTGTTACACTATTCAAAATAGTTTTACATGTACATTATACTGACTAGTGCCCAGTCTCCACACGGTGTGGCCATGTTCACTGTGTGGCTATCAGTGTCACTGCTAAGACTTGCCAGTGATAATATCATTACTTATCAATTTAAATAGATCACAAAGCCAGCTTTCAAAGATGTCATACAACAACATAAAACCCAAATGTATCACATCCTATATGATAGAACGTTAAATTTTGACATGCCACATGACCGACCTCATGAACCGTGACTGACAACGCAACGCGCCCACTTTGTAATTGTGCAGCTAAGATTAGATTACAATTTGCTTTGTTGGTAACCCTTTCCTTGAGATAACGATTAAAATATGTCAACCTCGTCCTCAGGGGGAAAAGGAGGAGCAAGGGTGGCACAGTTGGTTAGTGCGCAGCCTTCGGTGGGCGAGGTCTCGAGTTTGATCCCCGGTGTCAACACATCCTTATTTCAACTTCTCTCCTTTCTGTGTAGCTTTGACTAGCTTTAAATACCCTTGAAAAAGAGCATTAATGGAGAGAGGGGGTAAAAGGAGCACACCGTCGACCTCAAGTTTATCAGTCATTATTACTGTCACGAGTTATTGATGTAAAATATGGTCGCTTTACCTTTTTCTACCTTTTTATTAAGCCCTGGGGACGAGGTTGTAAAACATGCCTCTCCAGGAATTTTTAACGCTATTTTTTACACATTTGCGTTTAAAAAGAAGTGTATGTGGTCCCTGTATGCCTAGACACCTGTAAGGAGCTCATTCACTTTAGAGCCCTCGCACCAGAGTGTTAATGGTAGGTCTGTACGATCTTTCAAAAAAAAAAAAGGAAGGTCGTCGCGTGCGTTACAATTTACAAACAAACTTCAGAAGAGCTGAAAGTTACAGGAACAAGGCCTCTTTTAGCCAACCAATGATACATCATTCATAAAAATGAATGTAATTTGTTTACTGCAATTAGGCAAATACCCCGTGGTAACGAAATCTTACGATCATGAATTCCTCAAGAGCAATTCAGTTACCAACTTTTCACAAAATAATGCTGTGGAAAATTACAGAAAATACCAAAAAAAGCAAGGGTCAACAATAATTATGGCCTGGTCCCTTATAATAATGGAGTGGTCATGACAAAGAAGCCCATCAGCCCCAACTTTGACCTCTCAAACAGATTTCTGACAGATTACATACTGCAAAACTTTGCATTCACTTATACCTATGTTGCCACACCAGGAGCCTAGAAATCGGCTCCTGGTCACACCTTGTTTTTATTGCTCAATATCATTCTAAAGAGCTTTATGAAATATTTTGTTAGTAGGCGTGTTTTGAACATGATTGAAATTTAGAGATGGTGACAAAAACGAACACAAGAAAAGTCACAAAACGAGACACATGAAACAAACGCAATCAAATATTCGTGTTACACCGATTTAATGGCTCCTTTGGCTGCTATGCTGACGTTTTTGAAGATGGAAGTAGTATCACAACTAGTCCCGGGATAGGTATACTGTTTATTACCAGTTTCACGGTTCTTGAGGCTTAGGGTCTGTTAACATAAAGGTGGGGGACCCCAGGTAGGTGAGGTAACCTGCTTAGGTGGGGTAAAAAAAATAACCCTCCTTTACAGGCAATCTTACAACCCTGTCATCCTGGGGTGCACCTTCTCAAGATTATTCATTGGTCGCTAAGCACGTAAACAAGAAAAATGCTGGCAAACCACGTCTACGCTCACTTGCTGCTCTTGCTGCAACCTTCAGTGTTGTGGCTTTCTATCGTTACCTTAAATAATTATGTGAAGCCACCCGACGCCAAAGTGAATTTTGCGCGAATATGATGTATCACGAATCCGACCCCGACTATCCTGGGTTACCTCACCTTGAAACATTGACATGGCAAAATTTGACCTCAGCTGAGAGGGTTACCCAGTGTGGCAGACTGGGCTACCCACCTTGAAGGGTCACCCCTCCTATCATGTAAACGTGATCAAATTAAAATGAGAGATTATATGGACAGGCGGGTTAATACCCCCCTAAGTGGGTTACTATGCCTACTTGGGGTCCCCTTCCTCCATGTAAACAGACCCTAAAAGTTAGTCCGGCCCCCTTTCTACGGTTTCAGCAGTTAAACCATTCACCATTTATCATTTGAGTCAATCTTGTACCACTTGAGTCTCACTTTTAGGAATTGATAAGCTGTTATTATTTTTGGACATGAGTGCTTCAGTGCCAAATGTAGA